GTAGGAGATTTGGTCATTATTTGGTTCAGAGGGAGCATGTAAAGGTTGAACAGGAGAGGTGCCAGAATCGAGCCTTGTGGAACTCCACACGTCATGGGTGTCCACCTCGAGCTATGGTCACCTATACTGACACAGTAACCTACTTCAAGGTAAGATCTAAGCCATTTGAGGACCGTGCCAGACAGCCCAACCCAGTTTTCCAGCCTATCCACATGTATGCTGTGATGGACAGTGTCAAATGCAGCACTGAGATCCAACAATACCAGCACTGTTATTTTACCTGAATCTGTATTTAGGCGTATATCATTGATTATCTTTATAAGAGCGCTCTCTGTACTGTGATGTGCTCTGAAACCAGACTTATAATTGTTTAAACACCCCTTGAAGTTTAAGAACTTGTCAACCTGGTTGAAAACAAATTTTTTAATGATTTTGCCAATGAAAGGGAGATTTGAGATTGGCCTGTAATTGCTCAATAGGGTGTTATCCAGTTTGCTCTTCTTCAAGAGGGGTTTAACAACTGCAGTTTTAAATGAGTTTGGAAAATTCTCTAAGAGAAGTGAAGCATTTACCACTTTAGAAGATCCATTTCTAAACAGGTAAACACAGTAGAGGATAGAGCTTGTTTGTTTTTCACATATCCGGTTTAAAAACAAACACAACACACCTTACAGGTAAGTGAAAGCGAAAGGGTGGAACGACACCATTCTGTGGCTTATAAGAATACGTGGGGTTTATTTATAACCTGATTTCGAGAGGATCGCACACTTATGATTTACCACATAGAGTCCCACATTATCTAAGCATATATTATCATATTGTTACTATATACAACCACAGTCTTCAGTCCACATTTATCTTCCTCTGGAAGAATTTCCCCTTCCTCGCTTTTTTTTTCTTTCTCATTGATTGGGCGGCACGGCAAGCCAGTGGTTAGTACTGTTGCCCCACAGCAAGAACACTGCAGGCTCTGGTCCTTGCCGGGCCGGTGGGTGTTTCTGTGCAGAGTTTGTATGTTCTCTCCGTGTCCGCATGGGTTTTCCCTGGATTCTCCAGTTTCCTCCCACCGTCCAAAGATATGCATCATGCGTAACAGATTATGCAAAGCAGGCACTTTATCTAGCTCCCTGCATCAGTATCTTTCCTTCTCAAAGTAGTTCACCTTTACTTCTTCAGCTGGAGAGTTTTTGAGATCTACCTGGGCTCAATCTTTCCTCTTTTATGATAAATCATTAGCTGAGTGTGAAATCTTGAATGGACCTTTTCACAAGACCATTATAAAAGCATCTTAAGTTCTCGAAAGTTTTTAATATTTATATATATATTTGTTTAAATGTATGTACATTCATGGTGGGAGAAATAAGTATTCGACATGACGTGTTTTTTTTTTCCTGGGAATAATATTTGTAAAGGAGCTGTTGACATGGAATTGAAGATAGTTTTGGTAAAAACCCAAACAATATAAAGACAAAAATAAAACCTGAAAATGAGTTCTGTACAATAGGAATGGAACGACACAAGGAGAAAGTGCTAAACTACTGAAATGCATTTAATACTTTGTCTAAAAGTGTTTTTTGGTGCCGCACCTTAAAGACGCCTCTCATATGAAGAATGAAGCCTCATGCATTGCTCAGGTGCGAGTTGCTTCTGTGGATCTCGTCTATCAAATCTGAGCCTTATTCTGTATTCTCTATTGGATTCAGGTTAGGTGATTGGCTGGGCCATTCTGCAGCTTGATTCTCTTTCTCTGAAAGCACTTGAGAGTCTCCTTAGTTCATTGTCTTGCTGGTGTCATCTTCATCCTCCTGCTAATGTAGATGTTGGAGTGAAGCAGCTGATGTTCATTTACACAGAGGAAGGGCAGAGGCTTGCTGAAGAACTACTGAGAGATTTCAGCTGCTGTCTGGGCTTTCACTGCCAAACCACACCTCCCTTTTTTCACGTGTTCAATACTTTTCTCTTTGTCATTGCATTTTGTTACACAGAACTTAATTTGTAAACTCATTAGATTTGTTTTCTTTGCATATTTGGCTTTCTTTGGTTGTTACCAACATCTGGTGAAAATTCCATGTCAAAGACACCTTTAGAAATATTTTTCCTGAGAAAAAAGTGACGGGTTCAATTCTTATTCCTCCACTTTATATGTATTCATGTATGTATCATCTTTGCATCAAACAACAAAATTCCCGCTTGTGCGATACAATTGTAGTGCAGCGCCTATGGGACAGGACAGTAAATTTGACATTATTCTCTCTTCTGGCTGCTGTTGTAAGTCTGACACTAGGTTTGATAACACCATTGACACATTTTTCTTTTGATATTTCAGTGAATAGGATTGTTTATTTGTTGTATTCTCACGTTCACTGTACTCTGTGAGAAACCAGGAAATGTGAAAAGGGTCCATTTATGATTATCTCCCATCATCTCTGTCTTTACCACTCAATATTATGCTTGCATTTTGGTGTAACATTCCCTCTGAGTGTTACCACGTGACCCTGTTTGTTTGTTTCTGTTTATAAAAGTATTGATGATCATTCATGAGTAAAAAAAAGCTTCTTTTACAATAACTTAAAGAAAGTTGGAAATTCTAGCAAGATGGGTCATCATCTCAATATTATGGTTTGTTTAATTTTTAAAAAGAAAAAAAGGAGAGAAAGAGTACTACTGAGAAAAAAGCCTGGTTAGCACTGTCGCCTCACAGCAAGAATGTTGCTGGTTCGAGTCCCAGCTGGGTCAGTTGGCGTTTTTTGTGTGGAGTTTGCATGTTCTCCCGGTGTTGGCGTGGGTTTCCTTATGGTGCTCCGGTTTCCCCCACAGTCCAAACACGTGCGCTATAGGGGGGTTTCCACAAAAAACTCCCTCTGAGAAACTGAAGGAAATGCAAAAAGTGTCTCCACTCTCCCCAACACTGAATGAGTTCTTGCATTGAATATGTAATATTTAGCATTATTTCTCCATGTTAAGTTAAATAGGCTTGCAAATATGATAGAGTATACTGTTATGCCGTTAAACAACATTAAAGAAGAACATGAAATTTGGACTATGTCTCTCGGTTGGCCTGGGAACGCCTCGGGATCCCCCCGGAGGAGCTGGAGGAAGTGTCTGGAGATAGGGAAGTCTGGGGTTCTCTCCTAAGACTGCTGCCCCCGCGACCCGGCCCCGGAAAAGCGGCAGAAGATGAATGAATGAATGAATGAATGAATGAATGAAATTTGGCCAAATAATGTTTTATAGACCAACTGTACATAAATGGTTTACTGATATATATTCTGACTGATTAAATGGAAAAATAAAATCACAAGTGAATTTGAGTTGATGAATATTAAAGAAGTAAAACAGAGTAACATGAATAGATTTTGACACTGGTAGGATGTTAAAACAACATTGCAGAAAAACAACATATAGATCAAGAAGTGTACATATGAGGGAATAATCAGCAAAGATGTATGAAATCATTTCTTCTGCATTTTTTTTTTAACTAGAGACCTGATAGTGAGCCCTGCAGTGCTGTTGAACCTGTGATGATGCTCAGTGCCTTTAGAGGGAGCAGGTTAGATTCTCATGTCCGGTTTAAAAAGAAAGAAGACACACCTCAAACAGGACAGTGTAAGCGAGATAATGAAACGATGCCATTCTGTTTGTACTTCAAACCTTAATGGAGCAGTAAACCTGTCAGACACACATTCTGTGGTAAGTGCAAACAGTTTATTCTTCATTTAATCACGTCTTATACAAATGAGCTGATTTTTAAAATGAATTTATTTATTCCTCTGATTCTTTTCTTTTGATTCTAAATGCGAGTCATTTATTTAGTTAATCCTTAGAGTAAACCAAATAAACTGAGGGAAGTGTTGACGTTCACTTTTATGCTTTATGTGTTAAATATACTTTAAATTAAAAAAGAAATCAAGAAATAAGCAGCTGAATAAAAATAAATGGTAAAATGTTCAAAACTGTTAAAATAATCTTTGCTGCTGTTGTTGATAATGCTAAATGTGTAGATTTATGTTATAATCTTCTACAACAACACATATTCATTTATTTAGTCTCCGTGTCAAGTTATGATTCAAAACCTCAGTCATGAAACCTTCATGTTTTAATACCAGAGGTATCATTATTGAAGTATTATTCAGTGACACATTTATGATGGCCGGTTGTCTTTCAACTTTTATTTTGAGCTTCAAGTTGCTTTAAACACTGATTTTAATCTTTGCCAGATGTGTTTATCCAGCCTGATCTCAAGTATTTTACGTTTTGCCAGTTTAGTGGCTAATTCGTATGAATTCGTACGATTTCAGTCATACGAAATGATACGATTTTAAAAAGGAGGCATGGCACCTAACTCCAACCATCATTGGGGGATAAGCAAATCGTACTAAATTGTACGAATTAGATCGTACGAATTTATACAAATTAGCCACTAAATGAAAAAGTTACGAACTGCCATGAGATTGTGTTGGATTATCGGCTCTCTGGGGTCCTATGGAGGTGATAGTGTGGGGTGGAAAAGGATGGGATTTGACTAATATTGAAGAGTGGGAGCCTATGACCTTGTGTAGTCAGTGTATAGGGCAGATCGGTACTGATATTTACCATAAACATCAGTGTTTGTATCTGAACTATGAACTGTTTTCCCAATACTTCTGTTTTGATTGTTGGTCGCTAATAAATAATACTGGCTAAAAGACTGAATCTCTTTCTTGATCAAACTCAGATTTGTCTGTAATGAATCAAAGGGTTAATAAGCATAGGCAAATGACCCTCATTCAATGCCTGATCTTTTACTCATTAATAGTACAGCTTTACACTGAATGCATACACAAGCCTTCATTACATGTGCCAAACTGTGGGTCATGATGATCCAAATCAACTTATTTCTTGCATCTCTAACTATGACCAATAGTTATGTCATCATGTCCAATGGCTTGAATGTAGATATTTGAGAAACTGTGTTGTCTGTTTTTTCTAGTTTTGAACCAGCAACTTTCGACTTCAGGTAGAAGAGAACAATTGGAGTCAAAGCAATGGATAATATGTTACAGAGAATTAAAAATCAGCACAAAACCAGCCTGAAAAATAAGTATGAGAGATTATTTGAAGGAATCGAAGTAAAAGAGACTGGAACCCACCTGAACCGGATCTACACCCAGCTGTACATCATAGAGGGAGAGAGTGAAGGAGTGAATGAAGAACATGAGGTTTTACAGATGGAGAAAACAGCCAGAACAAAACACTCCCAACACACTCCAATCTACTGCAATGACATCTTTAAAGAGGAGAAAGAGCAAATCAAGACTGTTCTTACTAAAGGCATCGCTGGAATCGGAAAAACCGTCTCTGTGCAAAAGTTCATTCTGGACTGGGCCGAGGGAAAAGCCAATCAGGATGTAGATTTCATGTTTGTGCTTCCATTTCGAGAGCTGAACTTGATCAGAGATCATCAGTACAGTCTTCACACACTTCTGCTGGACTTTCATCCTGAACTTGAAGATCTGGAGCCCAAGATTTATGAGGAGTGTAAAGTTGTGTTCATCTTTGATGGTCTGGATGAAAGCAGAATCACACTGATGTTTTCAGACGCTCAGAAAGTTTGTGATGTGACTGAGACTTCATCAGTGGCTGTGTTGATGTCAAAGCTGATGAAAGGAGAGCTGCTTCCCTCTGCTCTCATCTGGATCACCTCCAGACCAGCAGCAGCCAATCAGATCCCCTCCAAATACATCAAGCGTCTGACAGAAATTCAGGGATTCACTGAGCCTCAGAAGGAGGAATATTTCAGGAAGAGAATCAGTGAGCAGCATCAAGCCAGCAGAATCATCTCACACATCAGAAGAGCAAGAAGCCTCCACATCATGTGCCACATACCCGTCTTCTGCTGGATCTCATCCACTGTGCTTCAGAAGCTCCTGGAAGAAGATCTGAGTGCAGAAATCCCTCAAACTCTGACTGAAATGTACATCCACTTCCTGCTGATTCAGATCAACATGAGGAATCAGAAGTATGAAGAGAGAGATCCAGAGAAACTCCTGCAGTCCAACAGAGAAGTGATTGTCAAACTTGCTGAAGTGGCTTTCAGACAGCTGATGAAGGGCAATGTGATGTTCTATGAGGAGGACCTGATTGAGAGCGGCGTAGACGTCTCTGACGCCTCAGTGTATTCTGGGATTTGCACTGAGATCTTTAAGGAGGAATCTGTGATTCACCAGAGGAAAGTCTACAGCTTCATCCATCTGAGCTTCCAGGAGTTCCTCGCTGCTTTCCATGTGTTTTACTACCACATAACCTGCTCCACAGAGGCAAGTTTAGATTCACTGCATGATTTGCAGAAAAGAATTATAAATAAATCCATTGAGAGTGAGAACGGGCATCTGGGTCTGTTCCTGCGGTTCCTGCTGGGCGTCTCACTGGAGTCCAATCAGAGACTCTTCCAGGATCTACTGACACACACAGAGAAGAGCTCAGAGAGCATCAGGAGAAGCACACAGTACATTAAAGAGAAGATCAGAGATGGACATGGACTCTCCACTGAAAGATCCATCAATCTGTTCCTCTGTCTGCTGGAAGTGAAAGATCAGACTCTGTCCAGAGAGATTCAGGAGTTTGTGAAATCAGACAAACAGTCAGAGAAGAAACTCTCTCCTGCTCACTGCTCAACAATCGCCTACATGCTTCAGATGTCAGAGGAGGTGCTGGATGAGCTGGAGCTCCAGAAATACAACACATCAGATGAGGGCAGAAGAAGACTGATACCAGCCGTCAGCAACTGCACAAGAGCTCTGTGAGTGATTATTTGTGCTACTCTGTTGTTTCTTGCATATATTTACCTTGTATTAAATTCCCTTGTTCTGCTCTTCTTTCAGTCTTGCTGGCTGTAATCTCTCTGCTCAGGATTGTGAAATTGTGTCGTCAGTTCTTCAATCCTCAAACTGTGTCCTGAGAGAGCTGGACCTGAGTAACAATGACCTGCAGGATTCAGGAGTGAAGCTGCTCTCTGATGGACTGAAGAGTCCAAACTGTCAGCTGGAGATACTGAGGTGAGACTTTCATGTTTAGTAATTATTATTTAAAGTTATGGATTCTATACTATATTATAATTTGCACTCTGGTCTGTGTCTGCAGGTTGTCTGGCTGTATGGTGACAGAGGAAGGCTGTGGTTTTCTATCTTCAGCTCTGAGTTCAAACCCCTCACACCTGAGAGAGCTGGATCTGAGCTACAATCACCCAGGACAATCAGGAGTCCAGCTGCTCCAACACACACTGCAGAAACTCAAGTAAGTCGAATATTCATTTGTCTGTACATAATGGGTCACATTAGAAGGGTGTTTTTGCATATATAAATTGTAGCACAAGACTAGTTGCCAACTGAAGCTAGATAGGGTCAAGGATACTAGTTAGATAGTAGTTAGATAGTACTATATAGATACTAGTTGGATACTAGTTCTACTTTATCTAAATTTTTAGCGTAATATTTATTTATTCATTTACTTATGTTTTCGTCTCTGTATAGTTTGGATCATGGAGGACATTTTAGGATCACACCAGGCCTAAGAAAATGTAAGTTCTTTCTCTCTCTCACACACACACTCACACACCTATGTATATTAAATGATGCTATAGATGATGTGATCTGTGCTCTTGTGTTCAGATGCCTGTGTTCTCACTCTGGATCCAAACACAGCACACACTCATCTTGTTCTGTCTGAAAAGAACAGAGAGGCCAGAAATGTGACAGATCCTCAGCCGTATCCTGATCATCCAGAGAGATTTAAGATCAATGAGCAGGTTCTGTGTAGAGAGCCTCTGACTGGACGCTGTTACTGGGAAGTGAAATGGAGCGGCTCTGGTCATATTGGGGTGGCTTATAAAGCCATCGACAGGAAAAGTGGGCTTGACTCTTGGTTTGGGCTCAATGAAAACTCTTGGAGTCTGTACAGCTGTGATACGATTTACACAGTCTGGCACAATAATAAGAGCGCTGATATTATTGCTCCTTCAGCTTGTACCAATAGAGTAGGAGTGTATGTGGATGTGCCATCTGGCTCTCTGTCTTTTTACAGTGTCTCTGACACAAACACACTCACACACATACACACATTCAACACCACATTCACTAAAGAGCTCTATACAGGATTTGGGATTTATCCTGAAGCTTCAGTGTCTCTGTGTCAGATTTAACAAACACTTCAAAGCAATTCAGAGACATACAACATATAAAAAAAGGTCAATATTTCACCTGTTATTAACATTCTGATATGCACGCAAGGTCCAAAAACACCTTCATTGTCTTATAACATGCTTTTACTGTTATCTAATTATACAGATGACTCTCAGTTGATTTGTTCAGCGATTCATTTATTTTTTTCCATGATGCTAATCTGCGGTGATTGGTTCATTGACTCAATGAGTCTGTTGTGATTGGTCCACCACAGTTTATCAGCAGGCATATGTGTGAGGCCAATGCAGGAAATCATTAAAGCAATGCAGTTAAACACCAGCATATTGCTCTTAACATAACCCCAAGTAATGACAATAACATTCATTCAGTATTGATCCATACTGCTGCAAAAGTTGAACTATTTTGAAAATTGCGCAGCTGAGGTGTGTTCTTGGCAAGGATCAAACCGTTGAAATGAAAGTTAAATCGGTGCTTTCTGTGTCTGGTGTTTAAGAACAGTTGATGAAGGACAAAGACAAACGGCAAAGGATCTCGAGCACAGAACCGGGTTTAAACTAGCGGCTACACACTTTGTATGTTTCATGTGGTTTTAGATGTGATATGTGAATAGCCCCTTAAAGAGTTAACTAGAGAGATATAATAACAAAGAGGCAACTGTTAAATTCACATTTACAGGTTGTGATCCAGACGATGAAACGGGTCAATGTAAACTGTGTACTGACAGTGCCATACATTGGTAGTTTTTGGTGCTGATTCTTTTTTTAATAAAAAAGCTTGCTTTATACTGTTGAAGTCATCAATAAAATGACAGGAACACAGCAAAAGGTTGGTTATAATGCAATCCAGGCTTCTGAAAACGTACCTTTATATACATTTCTTGAGAGCACCAAATACGTCCCAGGAGCTAAGTTTTTTTTATTTTTATTTTTTGCAGTTTTTTATTTATTTAATTTTTTTTTTTTGCAGTTTTTAAAATTGTTTTATTTTCATACACACGCTACTGTGTATAAATCCAACCAATAGTGTTTTAAAAAGCACCGATTGACAGACTTACCTAAACTCAACCAACAGCTTTATAAAGCAATCCAGAAAAATAAAAGCCCTTGCCTGATTTTTACCACGTTTTTTTAGATTTTACCACAGTCTCACCATGTTATTTACTTGTTTATTTGACCTCCTTTCTGGAACCGTTTTTTGCCAGACTCAAACCTCATTTTTGTGGTCAACTCCTCTCTGCATCTCAAGTCCACCGACAAACACATCGAGCTAACTGGACAAACTGGTAACAGCGGGAAAGCCATCCACACCGAGGTAAGCAGTCAGCTGGTAAATGCGAAAAGGAATGGCATCATACCACCCCATAGCGTTCGTTTTTAAAACAAAATTCAGCCATACGTATTTCGGGCTACATAATTCTCGATCTCCAAAAAGGTATATAGGGTTACGTTTTCAGAATGAGCCTATGTTGCTATAAAGAGATATTGTTGTGAAAATGAACTTTATTTAATTTTTATTTTCCTCACACCCTCATCTTTAGGTATCTCAGTAATCACTCATTTTCACGTCATGATCAGTTATATCCCCCAGCAATCTGCTATAGTGTTTGAGAGTAAGAGGATTTGAGTTTTCCCAAGTCTGCGCATGTAACACTTGTTCAGGTGTCACAATGAAATGGCTAAAGAGACAAGATCTTGATAAATCATTCAAATGACTTGGTCTAATCTTTAATTGAGAACTTGAGTACTTGTATACACGTTGTACTATCAGGTTTAACCCTCAGCAGGATGTTTTCACACGGCATGGAAGCTCATTTTCAAAAAAAACATAACAAGGGCTCTTTAAATGAAGTTTCACAAACTAATTTCTAGAGGAGCACGTGATATGATTGACTGCAGCCGGCCACTCATCTACACTCATTGGTTAGCCAATCAGATTGATCCAAACTCACTATAAATAACCTAGCTAAGATCTACTCCCTTATCTTCGTTTCCGAAGAAACCCCCCATCCACCCCTTCTCCTCCTTTCCTCTTTTGCCGAGGGGAGCTCTCGAGAACACCTGACCTCGTACTCCCCTCACATGCTTTATGGACGTGGCGGGAGCCCTGGGCTCAACTATCTCCGAGCTCAGGGTTCTCTCCCGGGACAGCATGCCAAACCTGCTAACTTGCTAACAAGTTGTCAAACAGTATCTAAGTGTGAATAGGCATCATTTAAATATAATGTGCTTGCATGTGAATTGCTGATGTTAGATTTTCAGGGCAGGGCTCACATTTAATGCATCAGCAAGTTTTCCAAGCAATGAAAGGCAACTTGAACAAGAGCAAATAAATGATGTCTCTGGTTTCTGTCTTAACTCATGTTTGCAATGTTATTTTAATAACCTGTTTAGTGGTTAATTTGCTCTTGTATTTAAGTGTATTTCGAGTGTTTCAGGCTTGTTTGTGTCTATTTCAAAAGAATAAAAGAAGATAAGTGAAAACCTGCTACCTGTGTTTGCCCAATCTTGTGTCTACAAAGCAACTAAATCAACAATGCCTGTATGGACATTTCAGAGCAGGAACAAAAAGCAAAAGAGAGGATTTGCATTACAGGATATAGCGTGTATTGTTATAGGATGCACTGTGTATGTTTTGCTAAAGAGATTTGTCTGTAATTTAGTTTTAAACTGAGAGAATGTGTCTCAGCTTCAAAAATAGTGGGAAATGCTAAATTTGTTGCACATTTCCGGTCTGTCGCATTCATATGAATATAACTCTATAGATGAAGAAGTGCAGTGTGACTGCGGCTTTAATCTAAACGTCTGTTTAGTTCAAATGTTTATTACTTACATTATCTCTCAGCCATTGTGTGAATGTTCAATGCAGTCTCAGATGACAGTCTCGATTAAACACGATACTCAACAGTCTACTGATGTTTGCTGCCTCATTACAAACATACGCATTATAAATTGATGAAACATTGATCAATTAACAAGATATATACTCTTACTCCTCTTAGGGGTGGCACTGGAGTCCCACATATAGGGGCAGCTAGCTCTTAGCAACTCTCACATGGTTGCCCACTGAAGCTGAGTACCTGGATGGAAGAGCACATGGGAACACTAGGTTGCTGCCGGAAGTGGTGTTAGTAAGGCCAGCAGGGGGCGCCTAACCTGCAGTTTGTGTGGGTCCTAATGCCCCAGTATAGTGACGGGGACTCTATACTGCTCAGTGAGCCCTGTCTTTCGGATAAGACGTTAAACCCAGCTCCTGACTCTGAGCTCAGGATGTCCTTCGAAAAAGAGTAGGGGTTTAACCTCGGCATCCTGGCCAAATCTGCCCACTGGCCTCTGTCCATCATGTCCTCCTAATCCTCCCCATATCATAATTGGCTTCATCACTCTGTCTCCTCTCCACCAATCAGCTGGTGTGTGGTGTGTGTTCTGGCGCAAAATGGATGCCGTCACGCCATCCATGTAGATGCTGCACACTGGTGGTGGATGAGGAGATTCCCCCATGTTTAAAGCGCTTTGAGTGCCCAGAAAAGCGCTATATAAATGTAAGGAATTATTATTATTATTACATACATAGTATATTTAGTATAAACTTAGATAGACTTAAGGAAAACGATCGTTGTTGTTGCACCAGGAAACATTGTGGTTTATTAAACACAGTCTGGGCATGCATTAATGATCTTGTGTACATCATATCAGTCTGTGTTTTGGCTGATGAACTTTTGATGACTCTAAAGCTCATGTATTCTGGCTGACGGAAAACGTGACCTAAAGTACATGCAAATGTTGAGAGTATGTTAGCGAATAGCCCCATAACAACATAACAGTCTTGTGTTCTGATTGGCCTGTTTTTCACTGCCCAGGTAGCAAATAATTCTGGCCCAGATTTGGCATGAAGCTGGCACAGCAGGCATTTATCTGGCATTGGCATACAGCATGTGGGCCAAACATAAGGTAGTATTTGGTCCAGTTGTTCAAAACTGATATGTGGGCCACCAAAGTTTTCCCTATCTTGACCCACATTTAAAATGCTTTTGAATTATTTTTTTAGTAAAGAACAAAATTTTAGGTCACTTTGGGGAAAAAACACACCCATAAAGCACCATGCTCCCTAGGTTTATCAATTTCATTGCAGTTTGGACACAACAAAATATCTGGCCCAATTATGGGTTATTATCTTGGCTGAGTCTTGGCCCAGATATGGTCCATGTTTGGCCATTGTCTGGAAGCCAGGCTTGGTCCAGTCATGTACCATAATTCACTGCAACAAGTGGGCCAAGCAAAAGCTGATTGTGTGGGCCAGAGCTGGGCCAGAAATATTTTGCTATGTACGTGGCGTTTTTACTCATGGAATTTACATGGGAATGAGGTAACAATGGTGTTTGAGGCCATTTAATGATTTTGTAATATTCAACAAGGCACATTTTAAACTTATTTAGTATTGCAATTATTTTATAAAGCAAAATCTGGTCACCCTATATTTTGGTAGTCCATTTAGTTACATTGCATCTACATGCCGCCTAATTCTCATTACATTATAAGTAGACTGTTAGGGTTGGGGTTTGGGTTAGTGTAAGTTGACATGTACTTGCGACGTTTCTTATAGTCAGTTAAATGTCTGTTAAAGGAGCAGAATCAGCAGATATTAAGCAGACAGTCTACTAATACTCAAATGGACCATCAAAATACATTTTTACCCAAAATCTCCATCTATATTTAATATACCTTCTTTAGACCCCTAAATGACCAGCATATCCCCTGAGATACAAATATTTAGATACAGATTATAAAAAAAAGTTCAAAATTATTTATTAATTTGCATAAACGTAATACGTTAACACTTTACAACTTAAAAAAGACACGTTAACTCATTGTAAATATGTTAAATACATCAACTTGTACCTGGATTTGAGTAGTTTCGATTTCAGTGCAGCCTGTTGACTAAACAGAATACATCAACAATGTCACCCGGTTTAAGCATTCACAACAAATAACTTCAAATCGATACCAAGAAATAAGACTCAGTTTCTCAGCCTTACTGGACAGCCTCTAAAAATATACATGGCAGCAAACTTATCTGCGTAAGCCATTTTCACTTTTCAGATAAACATGGTATAGTATGGTTCAGACTGCCTAGCATCCTATGCCTTTACAGGCTGTTTGGATTAAAACTGTGTTGTTTGCATAGAAAACAATGTGACAGAATAAAATCAAACAGTACAGACTGGCTTGGGCAGTTTGTCTTTGACAGATCACTATATATTACAAACACAGACAGCCTCTAGTGGCTAATATAGGACATAAGAAGTTGGTGTCATTTTTTCTTGATTTAAAGTAGGTGGATAGTTCCAGAAAGGAGCACTTGGACTATAAAACACCAGTAAGTATGAGGCTAATTCAGATTTTTTCACTTTCCTATTGACAGGTGTATTTCTTCTTTAAATAATTAAAAGTTGTTTGTGGCGCTGTTAACATTTAGCACAGTTTAATGAGCTGGGTCAATTCAAGGCAGGGTTAAATGCTCAACTGTAATTAATGTAATATCTAATGATCTAACATATTCATGTATATTTAAAATTTTTACTTTAGCTAATCTACTATATTTAGATATTGTTTGAGTTGTTTGATTACAAGATTTATTGGATATAAAAAAGCATTGGTAAGTTTGAGGCTGTTTTTTTCTTATTGAGAAGTGCAACTTTTCTTTAAATAATGCATCAATTAAAATTTGTTTATGGCACTGTCACCATTTAGCACAATATGTTGAGTGAGCAGGGTAATTTCTAGGCAGTGTTTAATGCCCCAAAGATGCTTAATGCATTATTAATGATCTAACAAATCTGTAATTTTCAACAAATCTTTATGTCTTTTTTGTAGCCATTTGCATCAGCAAGTTTCTGTTAGAAAAGTGTTTCATTCTGCTGTTCCTGTTTTATTCTATTTTACAATCAGAAATGGAGCAATAAAACACTTTTATTTGCTAAAAACTGGATGTTTTGTGTTGATGATACATTGTTGCTCTGTTTCTGACAGATTCTATAAATCCAGTCCAGTCATGTCTATAAACATGAGTAGCAGATTTGGAAATCAGGACGTCTTGCCTCGAGAGATTTTATCTGGTTCCTTGAGTTTCGTTTTACGGTATATATCTGTCTGTTTGTCTGTCTGTCTGTCTGTCTGTCTGTCTGACTATCTATCTATCTATCTATCTATCTATCTATCTATCTATCTATCTATCTATCTATCTATCTATCTATCTATCTATCTATCTATCTATCTATCTATCTATCTGACTGTATGATTTGTCTGTCTATCCAGTAAAAAAAAATCAATTGATGCATAAATACATTTATAGACTTGCAGTTGTTAAATGTTAAACAGATAAATATAGTGCGGGTCAACCTTTTTCTGAACCACTGTGACCTAAAACCTAAAGAAGCTTGTTTGTTTTGTTTTTAAATTAATTTAGTGCGAATCGATTCACATCTGCTAGAATAGTTTTTAAGTACATACAAATTCAAGGAACAGGAACATCACACACACAAAAAAAACAATCATCACAGGAGGGTGAGATTAACAAAGGGAGGGGCCAGGAGAGGCAGCAGGGTGGAGAAGATGAAGGCTTAGGCTAAGGGTGCACTGAGGGGTTTATTGGAAAAGTTAGGTGTATTGTTGAGTCGGCAGGGCTTGAGGTCTGAAGGGAACCAGCGGGACTGGAGGTCTGAGGGGAAATTGCAGGGCTGGAGGTCTGAATGGAAATGGCAAAGCTGGAGGTCTGAGGGGAACTAGCAGGACTGTAGGTCTGGAGGGAAATAGCAGGCCTGTAGGTCTGAGGGGAACCAACAAGGCTGTAGGTCTGAGGGGAAATGGAAGGGCTGTAGGTCTGAGGGTAGCTGGCAGGGCAAGAGGTCTGAAAGAAAGCAGCAGGGATGGAGGTCTGATGGGAAATTGCAGGGCTGGAGCTCTGAAGAGAAATGGCAGGGCTGAAGGTCTGAGGGAAACCAGCAGGGCTTGTAGGTCTGAGTGGAACCGACAGGGCAGTAGGTCTGAAGGGAACCGGCAGGGCAGTAGGTCTGAGGACAAATGGCAAAGCTGCAGGTCTGAGGGGAACCAGCAGGGCTGTATGTCTGAGGGAAAATAGCAGGGCTGTAGGTCTAAGGGGAAATGGCAGGGCTGGAGGTCTGAGGGGAAATGGCAGGGCTGGAGGTATAAGGGGAACCGGCGGCGCTTCAGGTCTGAGGGGACCCGGCAGGGCTGTATGTCTGAGGGAAAATAGCAGGGCTGGAGGTCTTAGGGGAAATGGCAGGGCTGGAGGTCTGAGGGGAAATGGCAGGGCTGGAGGTATTAGGGGAACCAGCGGCGCTTCAGGTCTGAGGGGACCCGGCAGGGCTGTATGTCTGAGGGAAAATGGCAGGGCTGGAGGTCTTAGGGGAAATGGCAGGGCTGGAGGTCTTAGGGGAAATGGCAGGGCTGGAGGTCTTAGGGGAAATGGCAGGGCTGGAGGTCTGAGGGGAAATGTCAGGGCTGTAGGTCTGAGGGAAAATGGCAGGGCTGGAGGTCTGAGGGGAAATGGCAGGGCTGGAGGTATAAGGGGAACCGGCGGCACTTCAGGTCTGAGGGGACCCGGCAGGGCTGTATGTCTGAGGGAAAATGGCAGGGCTGGAGGTCTTAGGGGAAATGGCAGGGCTGGAGGTCTGAGGGGAAATGTCAGGGCTGTAGGTCTGAGGGAAAATGGCAGGGCTGGAGGTCTGAGGGAAAATGGCAGGGCTGGAGGTCTGAGGGTAAATGTCAGGGCTGTAGGTCTGAGGGAAAATGGCAGGGCTGTAAGTCTGAGGGTGTGGGTGTAAGTCTGAGGGTGTGGGTGTGAGAAGAAATGTGTTTGACAATCCTCACATGACTTTTGGCACAAAATGATGAGCCACAATCCTTTTTCACATGCAATGACTGAAGCCCTCACGTATCACCAGTTCACCTGTTTATTATGGACTGCTTCAAAAGTTTGCTTTTTGGAGTGTATAGCAAGCATCAGAATATTTTTAACGTGTTTAACAACAGTCAGTTTACAGTGTTCAACAACAGTCGGTGCTGTACATACACATCCAAGGAACAAAAACACAATCATGGGGATGATGAAAGGACCCAACAAAGAACTGAATGTTCTGAATGTTATCTTCCATCATTCTCAAGTTAATTTGTTTTAACATACATTGTTTAACATTTTTGTTGTTTCCTTTGTTGTTGTAGTGCCTTTAATGAGCTATATTCAAGCAGGCCAAAAAGGTAATGTGCACAAACACACCTAGAGCTTCATAGAACGTTAAAAAATAATTTACCAAAAAATATCAAAGAATATTAGAACAAAATGTCCAACTCTGGTGTCTTTCTTTCAGGTATATATCGATCGCTTTTGTGATTGCAATGGTTTTATTCCTGACACTGACTCAGAGATCTACTGTGACACACACTCGACGCTCTTTACCCTCTGTGAAACTCAATACACCCATTATGACACCCATTGTAAACTGCAATGAAAAAGCAGCAGTGGCAGCAGATGCAGAAATTTGCTCAAAAATTGGAAGGTATGATTTTAAAGAGCTTCTACATTTATGTTTCCACATGTATCCTAAGGGATTCATTTTGTGAGCAGTGATAATTCTGCTACCTTCGACTATGCATTTTAAGGTTAATTATTTTCAAAGATTTTAGAACTATTAGGTTCCTAGTGATGTGTAATAAGCCACCAGGAAGGTATTGGGAAAAATGAGCCTTGGGTAACTGGCCTTATGACTAATTTTCGTAATTTAGTTCTTATAACCAAAGGATGTTCTTAGAACATACAGTTTGAATATGTTTGAACTATACTGGCCAAAAAAACACACCTTGAAAAATACATTCTTTATTAGAAACCCAGTTCTTTACTGCATACTTTATTCTTGCAAGCAGGAAAAATGTATTTGCATAAGCTAAGTATAATTAGTTATGCTGTACTGAAGATGTTTATTACGCTGCTGCCAGCTTAGCTTTACTCATACTCAGACTGCATCATAAAGGCTGTATCCAGATACTAATGGATCACTCTTCTGTCTTTGCAGGGACATTCTGGGACGCAACGGTTCAGCAGTGGATGCTGCTATCGCTGCTCTGCTGTGTGTGAGTGTGATTAACCCACAGAGTATGGGCATCGGTGGAGGAAGCGTGTTCACCATATACAATGCAATAAACGGTAGTTTTCAGTTGACTCTTTGTTTTAAAGAAAAGACTTTAATACTGCACAAAACTAAGAAGCTGTTTCTCTGAAGCACCCATAAAAAAGGGATAAAGATGCGTTGATACAGCCTTCCACCAGCTAATTTTGGTAACTATAGGCTGCGCTTCCCCACTCAACTGATTTTAAATCTGCCCCGAAAACATGTTCAACTTGGACAAGGAGATTTAAGTTCAGGCGTTAATGAGCAACTAATTCAGAAGCAAGCAACACCTTGACCAAGTAAATGTGAACATCATCCAGCATTTCTCTGTATGATTTCTAATCATGAATTGTGTTTCTGGGTTAAGGATAGGACTGAAATAGTAGCATGTACACCATTGCAACCAGTAGTGATGGGAAAAATTAAGCTTTTCAAAGATTCAAATCAATTAATCTAATTGCTCAAAAAATATTCACCATATGAAAGAGACATCTGCTGGTCAAAATTATGTTGTTGCAACAAAAACATTCATTAAAATTGGGTTTTACAAACACATTGGAAACAATTAAATGCATAACCTGTTTAATACACTCAGTGTATTATCTATTGTCATTAACTGTAATTTTCAAGGCTTATATTTTGAAAATAACTTGATATAAACATGTTTCCAGTGCATGTTAGGCTCTGGCAGGGCTACCCCTTGTCACCAATTCTGTTCATATTTTTTATGAATAGAATTTTAAAGTGCAGCCTTGGGCTGGAGGGGGTTCGCTTAGGGAACCACAGGATTCCTTCTCTGTTATTCGCAGACGTTTTTGATCTGTTGGCTTCATCAAACATGGACCTTCAGCATGCACTGGAGCGGTTTGCTGCAGAGTTTGACATAGCTGGGATGAGAAGCAGCACCTCCAAGTCCGAAGCGGAAAAAGGTGGTTCGGAGGCGGATCAGTACATCCGCAGCAGTAATGTGGTTAATGTAACGGTCCGTTGTGGTAAAGAAGGAGCTGAGCCGAAAGGGAAAGCTCGCGATTTATCGGTTAATCTACGTTCCTACTCTCACCTGTGGTCATGAGCTTTGGGTCATGACTGAAAGGACAAGATCTTGGATACAAGTGGCTGAATTGAGTTTCCTTCGAAGGGTGGCAGGGCGCACCCTTATTGATAGGATGAGGAGCTCTGACACCCGGGAGGAGCTCAGAGTAGAGCCGCTGCTCCTCCTCATCGAGAGAAGTCAGCTGAGCTGGCTCGGACATCTGTTTCAAATACCTCCTGGACGCCTATCTAGGGAAATATTCCAGGCATGTTCCACCTGGAGTAGGACTTGGGGAGGACCCAGGACACGCTGGAGGGACTAAGTTTCTCGGCTGGCTTGGGAACACCTCTTTAACCCCCAAAGGAGCTGGAGGAAGTGTCTGGGGAGAGGAGAGTCAGGAGTTCTCTCCTAAGACTGCTGCCCCCATGACCCGTCCCCGGATAAGCAGACGAAAATGAGATGAGAGATGAGAACTACTATTTTTCTTTTCATTTATATAATTTTAACATGAAATCATAACAATGTCTACAAATCAGTTAAACTGATCTGAGGTCATGTTAAAAGTTGTACACCATGTCACCACTGGGAGATGATCTGAGTAAACAAATATTCGTAAAGATTTTAAAGTTTTATGAAACAGTTCTACAAAAGCAGACATCCCAGTTACCAACCTATTGATGTTACAGGTAGGTTATGCCTTGGCTAAATTAGACTTTGCAGCTTTGACAGAAATACTGATCCAGGACATAAAAAGGTGCTGATCCAGTAACCACATTAACCTAATTGATCTGAGGGCTATGATCAGCATCTCATTGTGGTAAATGAAAACTTAAAGTTTGATGTCTTCACCCACAGGAACCGTGGAGATAATTAATGCTCGAGAGACTGCCCCGATGAGTGCTACAGCAAACATGTTTGACAATAACACCCAAAAAGAGAATCCAGGTATCAACCACCATACATAATTATACCTTTACAACACAGATTTAATAAGCACATTACCTGTTAATGATAATTAGGTCCACACAGAATCTATGTGTGCAGAAATGTGTATTTTTTGTCCATCTAATTTACTGTAAATATATGTATTTATTTTTTATATTAATTGCAGTAATATTATGGACTAACATGCATATGTTTTATGACTGATTTATAATACAGTTTGTAAAGTATTTGTTTCTGTCTTTTAGTAGACATATGAGTTTATGACTTGTTTACCAAACAAATGGATCTAATTGGAATTGGGTTGTAAACCTTAATTAAATAAAAGTTTAAAAGTTATTATTTTTTGTTTCACTTTTTAGGTTTTTAGGTATTATACTTTCAAAATTCATTGTGGATAAATCCACAGATTTAATTTTTTTTTTAATTCTGCGCAGAAATAACAAAAAAATGTTTGGAGGTTCTGTATGGTTCTAATGATAATCCAAAATAAACAACAAACTGAATATTTCTTCCAGTGTAGGATCATAAATGACTTGATTTTCTCCTTGTTTTTGTCCTGAATGTCAGGATTATTAATAGCTGTACCAGGAGAACTGCGTGGTTATAAAATGGCTCATGATAGGTACGGGAAACTCCCATGGAAAGATCTGTTTGAGCCCAGTATAAAGCTGGCATCGGAGGGATTTAACATTAGCAAAGGCCTGGCCTATGCCATCAATATGGAAGAAAGGAAAATTCGGAAAAATATAGCATTGCGGTGAGAATATTTATGTACCACATAAACCAAGCCAAGCTCGTCCCGAGGACGTTTCTGGAGACCGCAATTTACGAAGCCGGAGGTACATATGGCATTTAAGCGAACGCTATGGGGCGGTGTGATACCGCTCCTCTTCTTCGCGCTCTCCCGCTGACAGCTCACCTCCGTGTGGAAGGCTTTCCTGCCGCAACCAGTTTGTCCGGTTAGCTCGTCATATAAGTCAGCGAAGGGGAGACCGGGAAAGGAGCTGACCACGACGACCAGAAATCAGCTAAGACAAAAACAGAGTCCAAAAAATAAAGTGAACAAATTCATAACAGGGTGAGAATGTGATCAAATTGAAAATGTGGTCAAATCAGACAAGGGCTTTTCTTTTTCTAGATGGCTTATGTAAATCGTTGCTTGGGTTTAGGGAAGCAAGCGGGCTGGCGTGCAGGTCAATCGGTAAAACCGGTTGGTTTTAGAGAAGAAGGAGGAGGAGGGTGGGTCAGCCGATTGGCCGGTCACCCAGTCAATCATTCAGTCATTTAGTCAGTTGGACCAATGGTCACTCGACAGCGGCCTCCGGCGGCTTTACGTTTGGGCACGAGTTGCGTGGATTCACGAAAACAAAAACTGCACGATTACTTACCTCCCGGGATGTATTTTGTGGTCTCCATAACGTCTGCGGGACTAAGTTTTTGCCACAAATCAACATAATTCCTAATACTGTCATAATGCAAATTGTATCTGTAATAATTATAACATCATCTTAATTGTGCTCTTGTCTTTCTCTTCAGTGAAGTGTTTTGCGACTCAGACAATAAGCCCTTGAAGGAAAGCAATTTTACCAGATTTCCCAAGCTAGCTAAAACCTACCGGACAATAGCAGAAGAAGGACCAGATGCATTTTACGATGGGTCCCTGACTCAGAGTATACTGGATGAAATCACAGTTGCTGGTTATTTCATACCTTAAACTTTTTCCCATATTTGAGTTTCTACTGAACTCATTTGTTTCAGCCAGGGGTCACCAATCCCAGTTCATTAGGGCCGGTGTGCCCTGCAGGGTTTAGCTCCAACTTGCCTCAACACACCTGCCAGGATGTTTCAAGTGTACCTAGTAAGACCTTGATTAGCTTGTTCAGGTGTGTTGGATTAGGGTTAGAGCTAAAATCAGCAGGACATCGGCCCTCCGGGAACAAGTTTGGTGACCATTGGTTTAAGCTAACAACTTGTTTCTGACAACACAGGAGGAAACATCACACGTGAAGACCTTAAGCGTTATAAGCCAGATCTGCAAAAGTATGCATTGAACTTTACAGTGGGGAAATACATATTTTTTGCTCCTACTGCTCCATTCGGTGGACCTGTGCTCGCTCTGATAATGAAAATACTCCTGGGCAACGGTACAGCAGGTAGTAGCAAATCACATTTACTTCATTGCATTTTGTAAAAGTTACTTTGCTTTAGAAACAACATCTAATTTAGATAAGTTGCTAGTTAGGTTTGAAACCAGTTACATGATGTCTTGTTAGAGAGTTCAACAATGTTTGAATTATGGTAATAACCTGTTTATTGTCACAACAACTGAGCAATTTTCACAAATTTTTCAAGAGTTCACACTTAGCTGATGATTGATTATAAAGCTTGTTTGCAAGCTGCAAACGATTGATTATAAAGCACACTGTCCCGAGAGAGAGCCTTGAGTTTCTTGAGCCCAGGGCTCTCTCCTGTTTGCAGGGTTAGAGGGGAGTTTGAGCTCAGGTAGCTCTTAAGAACTTAAGAAATGAATTGCTATACAGAGATAAACTGCTGGTTAAGAGCTCATCTATAGTGCTAATTTAGATTGACTTATTCATTTATGATGCATGTTTTTGATTATGACTAATGTTTTATGGAATTAGATTGGCTGGATCCTTTGCAGTCAAATTACTCCATGCTGTTGGAATGTTATAGATCAGAGGACAGACGAGAGGTCTAAGACAGTAATGGCCACTGTGTTCATGTCTTAAAATGGATTAAATCATTCTAGTCACATGAGTCTCTGGGCCTACTTACACTATGCTATCCGAACCGTGCCCAGGCCCGTTTCCCGGATCGTTTGAGAAGTGTGAGTGCGCTGAATCGGGCTCAGGCAAGGTTCACTTGGCCGGCCCTGGCCTGGTTGGAAGAGGTGGGCCTGAGTGCGGTTCACTTGGGCTTTGGCGCAGTACATTTGTAGTGTGAGTGCAAAACGCGCCAAAGCCCGAAACTGAAAGCGAGACGTGACTTTTAAGTGACTGTTTCATATGGATGTATTAATCATTCTTGCTGTTCAGTGAACGCAAACTGCCGTCGTTTATTAAAGATGCAACCCCCTCACTGCACGACAGCTGCACACCTTCAGCAGACCTCCTCGTTCCTGCAGCACGAGGGCTTTATGATTGCTTATGAGCGCCAAAAGTGGTGAATCTGTTCGGCGAAATATTTGACTGCGTGTCACTGCATATAACGACTGAAGCGATATAACTAGAGAAATCTCCACTGTGCTGCTGAGTGAGAGCGCTTCTCACTGAACAGCGCAGCAGCGATGACGGAAGCATGCCGAGGCCCGATTGTGGTGTGAGTGCCGGCTGTCGGGGGAGACGGGAGAGGGGACAAGCGTGCTTTGGCCTGGTTCGAGGCAACTGTACCTAGTGTGAGTACAGCCTTAGCTTTTGTTTAGTCTTTGTTGGGGAGTCGTTATTTTCACAAGGTTTCCCTTAAAGCATGCTATGTATAGCGAGTGAAATGGTAAGGGGTGAGATTTCAGCTTCCTTGTGATAGCTTGAAGTGTGGATACTGGCCTTTTAGAGTTCAAACGGAGTTTGTGGACTGTGATCTTCTTGGAGATTTGTGTTAAAGACATGGCGGATGCATTGAGTAAGGGTGTTTGATAGAAGTGTGAACTTACACTGCCCTCACGGTTTGGTGAGCTTGGAGTGATGGGATTGGGGTCTGCAATGTCAGAGGAAATATAGCCCAAAGGGTTTTGAGTAGAATCCCTTCACTCCCCACTAACAGTTTGTGTTCCTAGAAAGGATACAATAGTGACTGTCAGCGCTGGCTTGAGAGAGCAAATTTCTCCCTCTTAGCAACCTCTAAAGTTTGTATTTAGGGACTTGAATCGGAATTCAATCTGTTGTTTGGCTAGCTGTGCTTGAAGCCCAGGAGAAAGAACTGCAAAGGCTTCCTTAAGATTATCTCTCTCCTCCTGTAAAATTGGTGCCGTCATCTGATGTATGTTCAAAGAGGGTTCTATGACTGGCAGTGAATGGGCCTGTACAGACTGACTTTGTTGACTTCTGTTGTTGTGAAACGTTGCAGACAATTTTCTACATAAAAGGACATGTCTCACATCATTCTTAATGTTAACTGTTGTCCAAGACGTGCCTTGAAGAGCATACATACACTGCACAACAGGTGGGACAAGCAGTTCCAAAAGGAAGAACTTGCCACACAATCACTCTGGGTGGTTCTTATACCTTGAGATTTCAGCTGTGATAATGCAGCATTTGGCGAGGCAGTGGCGCAGTAGGTAGTGCTGTTGCCTTACAGCAAGAAGGTCGCTGGTTCGAGCCACTGCTCAGTTGGCATTTCTGTGTGGAGTTTGCATGTTCTCCCTGCGTTTGTGTGGGTTTCCTCCGGGTGCTCCGGTTTCCCCCACAGTCCAAACACATGCGGTACAGGTGAATTGTGTAGGCTAAATTGTCCGTAGTGTATGAGTGTGTGTGTGGATATTTCCCAGAGAAGGGCATCCGCTGCGTAAAAACGTGCTGGATAAGTTGCCGGTTCATTCCGCTGTGGCGACCCCGGATTAATAAAGGGACTAAGCCGACAAAAAAATGAATGAATGAATAATGCAGCATCGGTTTGTCTTCTGGGAGCAACCGGATCTGTTGGAACATTCCTTATATATTGCCGTTGACTGAAAGGAGTAGGTAGTAACAATCATTTGTAACTTAATTTTGTATTTTAAATGTAAAATGTGAGTAACTTTCTTCACAGTTTCATTTTAAATGGGTATTAAACAAATTACAGTTAAATCTGAAAAGTATTTTAAACCAAAAAAGCGATTACTTTTAAAGGTACCATAGAATGCACTGATTGGGTATGTTTAAATTGTCTGATATCAACATAATAGGGATGTGTCTTAGGTAAGTGCTAAACATTTAACTAAAATCCAACAAAACATGAATAATAAAACATTAAGTTATTAGTTAATTTAGTTAATAATTAAACATCTGATTTCAGATTACTCAGGTTTCAACCTCTCAAACAAAAGTGTGTCCACACCAGAGAATATGACTTTGACCTATCATCGCATCATAGAGGCTTTCCGCTTTGCTAATGCTCAGAAGGCAAAACTGGCAGACCCACTTCATGAAAAAAACGTCACTGAGGTCAGTTTAACCATACTGATGGATTTCTTTGTGGTGGGGAGTTATTATGAGATTTAAAGACATTTAGTTTGACTCACAGTGTTTTCACAGTGTATTTAGGAAATGGCCTGGCAAATGGTACAGTCCTCTGCCAATCATGTTCCTTGTTTTTCTCTGATTATGTGATATTATAATTATTATTATTATTAATAATATTATTTACTTATGATGCTTCCTAACACACAATTAACCAAGGGTGAAAGGTGCCACATAAGTCTGAAAGATTGACCAGATCTCTCAGAGACATATCTGATGTGATTTACTCTAATGCTCCTGTTCTGATTTTCTCTGTTTTACTGTTCCTATATTTATATATTTTGCTATTTTTATTGCACAGTTTGTTAAATACATGACCTCAGACAGCTTTGCGGACAACATCAGGAATAAGATTAAAGATGACATCAAACAAACCAGCTATGATGAGCAGGGCATTAAAATTGTACCTGACGACCACGGTACATCTCATCTATCAGTTATCGCTAAAGACGGCAGTGCAGTGGCGGTGACCAGCAGCATTAATAACTTGTAAGTTATCTAAAACACCCAGTTTAAGCTATTTAGTTAGACCAACAAAGCTCGCTAGAGAGCATTTAGCATCCCGCTCAGTTTCAAGACAAATCTGAACATGTGAAATACTGTAGGTAACTGTCTTTAGAAATTTTTGTTATTCAATTCAGCTTTATTTGTACAGCACTTTCACAACGTAGATTGTGTCAAAGCAGCTTCACATAAAAGATCATCGTAAATTGAAACAGTGTAGAGCAAATCCATCCAACCATATCTTGTTGCCAAATTAGTTGTGTAGATGGCAGATGAATCAAAACAAGACATGATTGTTGGCTTTGCTCCAGAGGATCTTTGCACACTGAAGTCTGAAATTTGCATTTGCATTTTTTTCATGTATATAAATCAAAAAGAAATCGTCACACATGCAAACCTTGCACACGATGCATATTACTTAATCGGTTGTAAAAGAAACCACAAAACAATACAAAATAAAGTCTTAGAGTAGTGAAGATTATTTTGTTGTCCTCTCCCTGTTTAACAAAAGAAAAAAGAAGGAAATATTGGGTCCATCACATCCTTAGATCATGGAGAGTGGAAAGAGATCTACCTCTTTATCAAAGAGCTGCAGGATTGTCCTGACACATTCAACATTTACTTCAGGGTGTTCAGACTTTGCTAGTGATACTGGAAAAACATATTAAAAAGAACACCCCTGATTTCCGTGAACCACAGACATGCCTTTTGGATTTTGCCTTTTGCTTGTATGACTTTAGAAGTTATTCCAGTAAACAGGTAAAATTTTCAAGTAGAGTTTATGATGACACCATGGTAGTGGGTTTTTCATGATGCATTGTTCCTTGACTCTTTTTAATTGTGCATGTGTGCATGTGTGTTCTCCCAGTTTCGGTTCAGGTGTGATGTCATGCTTAAGAGGTATTATATTTAATGATCAGATGTCGGATTACACTAGTCCTGAAATGAAAAATGGACCTAATGCAATCAAACCAGGTGAAGAAAAAATACATTTGAGGAGTTTAAATGATTGCAATATTAAAACTGCCGGTATAAATGAATATTTTGGCATATTTTTACCAGGTAAAAGGCCACTTTCATCAATGTGTCCCACAATAATACTGGACAAAGACAGCAGAAAAGTGAGAATGGTAGCTGGAGGTGCAGGAGGGACCAACATCACCACATCTGTTGCTCAGGTGAGACAAATATATCAACAGATTACAACTATTTAAGCATTACTCAACTTTACACCACATGCCTACATCACCACATAATGGAAATCAAATCAGTATAGTCATATTTGATTCATTATATTTGTGTGATTTTTAAAATATATTTATCTTTTATCTATTTCTGTCTTTACAGGTTATCCTGGACCACCTGTACTTTGACTATAACCTGCAGAAGGCTGTTGCAGAACCCAGAGTTCAGGTCCCACCCAATGTGACAAATGTGGAGGAGGGATTTGATTCGGTAGGATCTCCACACTTCATGACAACATTTTATTATGCAAATTAGATTCACTATATCAAAAAAGTGATGATGATGTTACTAAATTTGTCTATGTTGTATTTATGAACGCAGACAGTAATGGGTTGGCTGTCGAGGAAGTATCATAATATTTCTCAGTATACTTCATTAACAATGGTCCAGGTGGTTGAAAAGGAAGGGAGCCAAGTCTGTGCTGTATCTGACACCAGGGATGCTGTATACTACAGGCCGAGCACTGCTTCTGTGAAAGGGCTGTCCAGTGACAGCTACATAATCATTTGTTTGGGTGTTTTGTGGATGCTATTAAACGGGGCTTAAAATTAACATTTACCATGCACAAATGCGCCATGGCAAGGTGGTAAGATACAACATGATTTTTGTATTATTACTAATTCTGACATTATATAAATCACATATTACCTAATACACTGAAAAAATTTATTCAAAGATGATTCCTTGAATTTACTAAATTTTTTTACGTTAAGTTCTAAACAATTTATTTGTGTTGAATTTAAACAAACAAATTAAGTTGAACATTATTAAACTAAATTTGTTTGTTTAAATTCAACACAAATAAATTGTTTGCAGCAGTTCTGCATGCAACACTTTTTTCAGTGTACTTTAATCTGAACTAATAATGATTTTGAATCATTTTAATTGATATTTCTTGATCATGAATGATTATCCAAATGCTATCAGCGTAATTAATACTAATAGTGGTAAATAGTATAATTAACATTTTATTTTAAATTGATAAGTTACATTAAGGATTAATAATGAAAGGTCAGGGTTCGGATAGTCACCCTGCATTCAGATGATGATGGTGATGGTGATTATGATCATGATGCACTAGTCACGCTAGAGGAAGATGTTTGTTTACCCATAAACACTGAGATACAGACACCTTGTCTGACCAAGATGTGAAACTGAAGACAGTCAGGAGATATAAAACAAACACTCTCCAACAGTGCATGTAAAACCTGTATGTTTATGCCAGTTCAACCATTCACTTCACTTTACAAAACACACAAGACCAAAGTGCACCTTCACCAGGTCAGTAGAAACAAGGTGAAAGAAGGAAGTGTAAATATTTCAACTCTTTGTTTAATCTATCTCTCGTTTTATGGTAAGATATTTGTGATGTACCACCTGGACTTTTAACATCTGCTTATTAAATGTCTTTATTCTCTTTTACTCAATTGCAATTTATTATGTTGATCTTTGTTAGCTTATATATTAAAAGCAAACTAAAAGACTTCTGTAACATGCTTCATTCAGTTTTCATAATTTTATTCTTCTTTAAATGTATGCTATGATGAGTGCAGCGTAGTGACTTCATAATATGCCCCATTATACATCAGTCCCACTGAGGAGCTCCAGAAGGAGAACAGAAGTGAATCCTCATCTTGCTTGGATAAAAGCATGCTAAATAAATAGAGGGAATGTAAATGAGAAGTGAAGGATGAGAGAGAATCAGGATATTTGCATTGCTGTTTTGTTTTATTTTTATTTTTAATTAATTGGATATTTGGATATTATTGTTTTAATATTGCCCTGTCCAGGGACTGCAGGTGGAAATTAGCAATCCTGCTACAACCTGGCACAATGCATCTTTCCTCCTTGAGGTTAATGCAATTTTTTATGTATTGTCCTTGTTAAATAAATAAGTTCCTTCATTCATTCATTCATTCATTCATTCATTCATTCATTCATTCATATATTCATTAATTTGTTCATTTTTGTGTAGCAATCATTTAAAGCAGTGTTTCTCAACCACATTTTTGGAGAAGCACCAGCACTGCATGCGTTGGATGTCTCCTTTGCCTGTCACACTCATTACAGGTCTTTCTGTTTCTACTATGATGATGATCTCAATCAGGTGTGTTTAGTTAAGGAGACACGGAAAATGTGCAGAGCTGGTGCTCTTCCAGGAACGTGGTTGAGAAACACTAAAGGGTCTTAACTAAATTTGTATGTTGTTTTCATATTTTATGATTGAAGTCTTCATCTTTCCCTCAAATTTGAGCTAAGTAAAAATAGAGGCTTCCACACTGCAGACTAATGCACTCTATTCATATGATCCTTTCTCAATACTCAAGGACAATAAGTTATGAAACAAAGCATTAAAACAACAGACACATTATATATGTACAACATATGCAAGCACATTTGCAGTGAGATTGTGAGTGTGAGACTTGACCAATAGGAATTTAATACAATCAGGAGAGAAAAAAAAATATTTTTGTTTTAGCCTTTTAGGGAACTAATCTAGTTACAAAATCACTCACATTTGTCAACGTTAAAAACAATAACAATAAAACGATGACGATAATAATAAAAATAATAATAATAATAATAATAATAACAATAATAAATTAAAGATAATCTGTTTTCATGGCACACAAAATTAAAAAAAAAATGTTGAGGCAAATGATCTGTATTTATTTAATTTGTAGTTATTTTTAAAACAAGAAATGTTATATTTAAAAAATCTTATAAATTGATCAGAAGGTACCACCATTTAATCTGACAAATGTACACAATTATAGAAGTTTAGTAGAGCTACAATGGAAGCAATGACATATTTAAAAACAGCTAGCAATAAAAAAATTAATTAGTTTTTAATAAGTTTTACACAGTAGAACCACACAGTGCCACAGTTATAGTGTATTAAGAGTATAATGATGTAGCTTCTCTGTATACCAAGGTTATTTTAGTTTTGGATTTTTAAAATGAGTTTATATTTTGATACTGTTTTAAATTTACTGTACATTTTAGTTGAGTTGTTGTTTGGTTCATTGAAAATTTAGTTTGTTTAAGTTCAGTTTTTTTTTTTTTTTTTTTTTTGGTGATGACATTGCTATTTAGTTTCACTTTTAGTTTTAGTAATTTTAGTTTATCAGAGTGAATGGAGGACGTCCAGTGTCAGCCAAAACACAGTGTAATGTTTGCAAAGTTTATATTAACACTTGTGAAAACCTCATAGTGATAATAAATAAATGAACAAACATTCATTTTAAAACCACACAAATACAACCAAAAATTAAAATTATTCAATAATTTTTTTTAATAGTTTTATAGCTTTTAAATCAAGAAACAATTATTAAAATTCAGTAAAAATACTGAAACAGTATAGACATTTAAATGAGGGATTTGTGTATAATAATGCAAAATTATAAAAGTCATGTATGAAATAGTCACTTATTAGGTTTATTAAAATTGCTTTCAGTTTATTTAAACAGCAATTCCATTTATTTACTTACTTGGGCTTTTACTTTATTTTTTATTAATAATTCTCAACTGTGTTTCCCAGTGTTGGGTTGCGACTAGAAGGCCATCCACTTTGTAAAACATATGTTTTAAAATTTGGCGGTTCATTCCGCTGTAGCCACCCTTGATAAATTAGGGACTAAGCCAGAAAAAAAAAAACTGAATGATTTGTTATTTTTAATATTTAATATTTATTTACAACAAATACAGAATTGTACAGTATTATACAAAAATATATGCCAGAGTCTACATAAAAAAACATTCAGTAATTAAAAATCTTATATCCCATTAGAATAGAGTCTTTAAAGAGTCATAAAGAGTCTTTTTTGCTTTTTTTATTAACAACATTCTCCAAACTTGTAGTAGTCTATAGTCTCATTGAACGAAGTTAACAAAATTTGGCTCTGATCCAGTCCATTTTTTGTGTATCAGTCTTTCCCATAATAAAATAAGATTGTGCTGGAAAGATGTGTTTTCTACACGTGTAGACATAATAAAAACAAATTTCAACTGAATGATTTCTGGATGTTGTGTCTGTGTACGTGACGGTGATGACTCTGTGCGCCGCTAGAGGGAGTATAAATAGGCTCGAGTCCAAAAGCGAAACTGAAAGAAGGCGGAAGCGTTAAAAGGTAAGCTATTGTCTTGATTACATTACGGATTTATTTTAACAGCCTTATAATTTGTGGCAAGTTCATACCACACATTAATGTGAGCTACCTAGTAGTTGTGAAGTTTGCTGAAACTTGGGGTTTTGGTTCCTCATTTGTTTCCTCATATTTTCTCAATAGCAGCGCTGACAGGAAAAAAAGCAGAAATACAGTGTTGAAACCAGAAACACCGTCATGTTTAGCGTTATACTTGAGTAACAGGCTCAGCTGTTTGTTTAAAAATACTTCTCTACGGATGTGTTTTGTGAATGAGGGTTTATTGTAGTCGTACAGCAACAATATGAACACAAGCACAGACTGAAGTGAAGTGATGGAACAGATTCGCCATGATTGTTTATCTGCGCCATTATTAAAATAACGGTTTTAACCAGTAGCGAAGCACTCGACACAGTACAGAGGAGCTGACCAAAACATGAAGCAGATGTGATTTAAACAGCAGTGAAAGTTTTAGTTTCTGTAACATCTGCATTGGCTCAGTGATTGTAGTGTCTTTTTTTCCTTTGAGTGTAGTAAACCGGACTGCAGACACAATACTGTACGCAATAGTTATAATAGCCTATATCCTTATTGTATTAAATGATTGTTTCCATAATCTATAATAGTCGTCATATTATGAAGGGTGAATATAGGCTAACACACATTTCTACAGTTATAGTAAGAGGATACATTGATGTAGCTTCTCTGTATACCAAGGTTATTATAGTTTTCCATTTTTCAAAAATAGTGTATATTTTGATACTGTTTTTAAATTTACTGTATATTTCAGTTGAGTTGTTGTTTGGTTCATTAATAATTTAGTTTGTTTAGATTAGTTTTTATTTTGTGAAGACATTTCTATTTAGTTTTTATACATTTAGTTTCACTTTTAGTTTGAGTAGTTTATCAGAATGAACGGAAGACGTCCAGTGTCAGCCAGAACACAGTGTAATGTTTGCAAAGTTTATATTAACGCTTGTGCAAACCTCATAGTAATAAATAAATGAACAAACATTCAATAAATCACAAAAATACAAACTAATTTTGAAATGATGAATTCAGACTAGTTAACCTAATTACCCTAGTGAAGCCTTTACATGTCACTTTAAGCTGTGTAGAAGTGTCTTGAAGAATATCTAGTCTAATATTATGTGCTGTCATCTTGACAAAGAGAAAATAAATCAGTTATTAGAGATGAGTTATTAACACTATTATGATTAGAAATGTGTTGAAGAAATCTGCTCTCCGTTAAACAAAAATTGTGGAAAAAATAAACAGGGTGGCGAATAATGCTGACTTCAACTAATATATATATATAATTATTATTATTATTTTATTTCAGTTATTTTTTCAGCGACTTTTTTTTTTTTTTTTAGTTTGAGTTTATTTTATTGTTGCATTTATTGTATTTCTTTCATTTCAGTTAACGCAAATGTTTTTGACCAAAAATTGTAATCTTATTTCTAGTTGTAGTTTACTAAAACAATTTTGACGTGGTTTAATGAAAGCATTTTTATAAGCGCAGCTTCTCATTCATTAGAGAACATTGTATCACACAAGTGTAAATCTCTGCTTTCACACAACAGGTCTGAAATCAATCGCTCAGCACTCTGATGACTGAGAGCTGGAGGACACGGGCTCTAATATGAGTGCTCCGTCAAGTCATGATCATCCTTCCACCTGTGATGAAAACATGACCTCTGACCCCAGGTAAGACACCAGACACTTTTACATTTTCAAATCAGAGAGACACAGTTTCACTTGCCTTGAAATTGTCCTTCATTGACTAAATCAATTTAATGAAAATATACAAGCCTGATTGGAATTAGCACTTGAAATTATTTTTGTTCATAAATAAAAACATGCAGTCTGATTTCGGCATTACAGAAATTGTATCTGGGCTTGGGTCTACTAGGCCCTCCAAGGCTGTAGTACTGACTTTCGGGGTTTTATGCTTGGAATGAGACATTGATGTGATTGGAATGAGTTTAATGATAACATTTGGTGAATATTTCCAATGCTTATTTGTTTGTTTTATCAGGGTAACTCTGAGAAAAACACCAAGATTAGAGTCTTCTGGACCCAGTGGTGTGTCTGTGAAGAGTGACTGGTCCATGGAGCGACCTCCTGCATTGAGCAATCAACCAGTGACCTCTGATCCTCGGTTAGTACAGTTAGTACACTTAAATTTCTACAGTTGTCAACATTTGCATGTAGAGATGGATGTGTAACTAGGAACAATTGCTAAATATTTGAGAACCCAAATGCATTAGATGTGTCTAAAATGTTTATTTATTTGTTTTGTCAGTGTAAATCAGAGAAAGACACCAAGGTTGGAGTCTCCAGAACTCAGTGGTGTGTCTGTGAAGAGTGACTGGTCTAAAGAGCGACCTCCTGCATTCAGTGATGAACCAGTGACCTCTGACCCTCGGTTAGTACAGTTAGTACACTTACATTTCTACAGTTGTTAACATTTGCATGTAGAGATGGATGTGTAATTGAGAACAATTGCTAAATATTTGAGAACCCAAATGCATTAGATGTGTCTAAAATGTTTATTTATTTGTTTTGTCAGTGTAAATCAGAGAAAGACACCAAGGTTGGAGTCTCCAGAACTCAGTGGTGTGTCTGTGAAGAGTGACTGGTCCATAGAGCGACCTCCTGCATTCAGTAATGAACCTGTGACCTCTGACCCTCGGTTAGTACAGTTGTTTACTTGCATATGTACTGCAGGTCATGGTGTCAATATCTCATGATATGCACATTTCTGAATCTGTTTGGTTTTGTTGACACTTCTATCAGGAGGTGTGATATACATGAGCGATGTGTGAACATTACACAGAGCAACATTGGATCACAAACACTGAAGACAAGAGACCTACAGAGAGTCAAAGACCAGCTCAAAGCCAGCATGAAGAACAAGTATGAGCTGTTATCTGAAGGAATTAAAGTAAAAGAGAATCAAACCCACCTGAACCGTATCTACACCCAGCTGTACATCATAGAAGGAGAGAGTGAAGGAGTGAATGAAGAACATGAGGTTTTACAGATGGAGAAAACAGCCAGAACAAAACACTCCCAACACACTCCAATCTACTGCAATGACATCTTTAAAGAGGAGAAAGAGCAAATCAAGACTGTTCTTACTAAAGGCATCGCTGGAATCGGAAAAACCGTCTCTGTGCAGAAGTTCATTCTGGACTGGGCCGAGGGAAAAGCCAATCAGGATGTAGATTTCATGTTTGTGCTTCCATTTCGAGAGCTGAACTTGATCAGAGATCATCAGTACAGTCTTCACACACTTCTGCTGGACTTTCATCCTGAACTTGAAGATCTGGAGCCCAAGATTTATGAGAAGTGTAAAGTTGTGTTCATCTTTGATGGTCTGGATGAAAGCAGAATCACACTGATGTTTTCAGACGCTCAGAAAGTTTGTGATGTGACTGAGACTTCATCAGTGGCTGTGTTGATGTCAAAGCTGATGAAAGGAGAGCTGCTTCCCTCTGCTCTCATCTGGATCACCTCCAGACCAGCAGCAGCCAATCAGATCCCCTCCAAATACATCAAGCGTCTGACAGAAATTCAGGGATTCACTGAGCCTCAGAAGGAGGAATATTTCAGGAAGAGAATCAATGAGAAGCATCAAGCCAGCAGAATCATCTCACACATCAGAAGAGCAAGAAGCCTCCACATCATGTGCCACATACCCGTCTTCTGCTGGATCTCATCCACTGTGCTTCAGAAGCTCCTGGAAGAAGATCTGAGTGCAGAAATCCCTCAAACTCTGACTGAAATGTACATCCACTTCCTGCTGATTCAGATCAACATGAGGAATCAGAAGTATGAAGAGAGAGATCCAGAGAAACTCCTGCAGTCTAACAGAGAAGTGATTGTCAAACTTGCTGAAGTGGCTTTCAGACAGCTGATGAAGGGCAATGTGATGTTCTATGAGGAGGACCTGATTGAGAGCGGCATCGACATCTGTGAGGCCTCAGTGTGTACTGGGATTTGCACTGAGATCTTTAAGGAGGAATCTGTGATTCTTCTGACGAAAGTCTACAGCTTCATCCATCTGAGTGTTCAGGAATTTCTGGCTGCTTTCTATGTGTTTTACGTTCATGTAAGCAGCACTACAGAAGCATCTTTTGATTCACTAGAAAATCTCCATAAAAGAATCATTGATAAAGCCATTGAGAGTGAGAATGGTCATCTGGATCTGTTCCTGCGGTTCCTGCTGGGCGTCTCACTGGAGTCCAATCAGAGACTCTTCCAGGATCTACTGACACACACAGAGAAGAGCTCAGAGAGCATCAGGAGAAGCACACAGTACATTAAAGAGAAGATCAGAGATGGACATGGACTCTCCACTGAAAGATCCATCAATCTGTTCCTCTGTCTGCTGGAAGTGAAAGATCAGACTCTGTCCAGAGAGATTCAGGAGTTTGTGAAATCAGACAAACAGTCAGAGAAGAAACTCTCTCCTGCTCACTGCTCAACAATAGCCTACATGCTTCAGATGTCAGAGGAGGTGCTGGATGAGCTGGAGCTCCAGAAATACAACACATCAGATGAGGGTAGAAGAAGACTGATACCAGCCGTCAGCAACTGCACAAGAGCTCTGTGAGTATCTAATCCAGTGTTACTTCTTTAGTTTCTTGTGCATATTTAGCTTGTTTTACATTCTCTTGTTCTGCTCTTCTTTCAGTCTTGCTGGCTGTAATCTCTCTGCTCAGGATTGTGAAATTGTGTCGTCAGTTCTTCAATCCTCAAACTGTGTCCTGAGAGAGCTGGACCTGAGTAACAATGACTTGCAGGATTCAGGAGTGAAGCTGCTCTCTGATGGACTGAAGAGTCCAAACTGTCAGCTGGAGATACTGAGGTGTGTAATACTTGATGTATGTCTGTAGATGATCTGCGTGTGTTTGTAGATCAGGGATATCAAACCTTATTCGTAGCACGAACCTGTGTTTGTATTGATCGTTTTGTCTTGGACCAGGGTGGATTTGAGAGGCAATTTAGAAGAAGAAGTGAGTGGCACACCATGCATGGTGTGGTGCCCATCTTTGCATTGTTTTCTATACACTACTACGCAACATGAATAATGCTGAATGGCGACACTAGTGTGCATAGTGTGCAAGTGGGATTGCATATAGCCTAATTTTGTGTTCTTGTGGCCCAGTAGCTACTCTTTCACAACCCACTACTAGGCCATGATCCCTGCTATAGATGATCTCTGTCTGTGTGTGCAGGTTGTCTGGCTGTATGGTGACAGAGGAAGGCTGTGGTTTTCTATCTTCAGCACTGAGTTCAAACCCCTCACACCTGAGAGAGCTGGATCTGAGCTACAATCACCCAGGACAATCAGGAGTCCAGCTGCTCCAACACACACTGGAGGATCCACACTACACACTGCAGAAACTCAAGTATGTGGGGGAGATTTGAATTTCCTTAAATGATTGAGGCCACAGAAGATATGATGAAAACATCTATAGTGAAATTAATTTATAGTCTCATTACTTTTTATAAGGCTTTATCTGATTATCCACAAATTATAAAATAGAAGAACAGTTCATTTATACCAGGGGTGTCAAACTCAATTCCTGGAGGGCTGAAGCCCTGCACAGTTTAGTTCCAACCCTGCTCCAACACACGTACCTGTAGCTTTCAAACAAGCCTGAAGGACTCAATTAGTTTGATCAGTTGTGTTTAATTAGGGTTGGATCTAAACTGTGCAGAGCTGCGGCCCTTTTGGAACTGAGTCTGACACCTGTGATTTATACCTATTACTAATTTCATGAAAAAAATGACTAAACTCTATATTTATATAACTCATATTGCTTGAATATGGCACCCTAAGCAAACCTGCCCATGGGGCTCAGGATGTTTGCTCGTATATTGCCCATAAATAAATCCACAACTGCTCGTGTCAAATAATTTTAGTTCTTTTTGCTTATTTTGTATTTTTAGTTTGGACCATGGAGGACATTTGAGGATCAAGCAAGGATTTCTGAAATGTAAGTCATCCATTTACACACACACACACACACACACACACACACACACACACTCTCTCTCTCCTGTGCATATTTAACAATGGCATTGGTGATTTCTGTGTTCAGATGCCTGCTTTCTCACACTGGATCCAAACACAGCACACAATCAACTTCAAGTGTCTGATGGAAACAGAAAGGCAGTGCATATGAAAGATCCTCAGCCGTATCCTGATCATCCAGAGAGATTTGAGCTACAGGAGCAGGTTCTGTGTAGAGAGACTCTGACTGGACGCTGTTACTGGGAGTCTAAATGGAGTGGATCTGGTTATGTAGCAGTGGCCTATAAAGCGATCGACAGGAAAGGAGGGCTTGAATCTTGGTTTGGACTCAACGAAAGGTCCTGGAGTATTTACTGCTCCAATATAAATTACACCGCCTGGCACAATAACGAGGGCACTGATATTATTGCTCCTTCCTCTCGCAATAATAGAGTAGGAGTGTATGTGGACGTGCCGTCCGGTTCTATGTCCTTCTACAGTGTCTCTGACACACACACACTCACACACTTACACACATTCAACACCACATTCACTGAAGACATCTATGCAGGATTCAGGATATATCCTAAATCTTCAGTGTCTCTGTGTCAGATTTAACAAACACTGCAGAGGAAACTCAGGGACCAATGCACATTTCCTCTATTCCAGAAGAATCAGATTGAAAAGGTCATCATATAAAAGTATTTATATTTTAATAAATATGCTATTTTTACTATATTTTGAAGGTTAAAAGGGAAGAAACAGAATGTTCTCTAGAGTTACATTATAATGTATGATGACGTCAGATTGTAATCTAAATGAGCAGAGTAAGATTTAAAGCTGTTGTAGAGAAGTAGCTGTGATTTTGAGATTTAGAGTTAATTGAGGTAAAGTTTGCGTTTATATTCACACATTCAATATAATTAGTATGGAGGCAGCTAGCTCTTTGCAACTCTCACATGGTTGCCCACTGACGCTAAGCAGGGCTGCGCCCGGTCAGTACCTGGATGGGAGACCACATGGGAAAGCTAGGCTGCTGCTGGAAGTAGTGTTAGTGAGGCCAGCAGGGGGCGCTCAACCTGCATTCTGTATGGGTCCTAATGCCCCAGTATAGTGATGGGGACTCTATACTGGTCAGTGAGAGCCGTCTTTCGGATAAGAAGTTAAACCGAGGTCCTGACTCTCTGTGCTCATTAAAAGTCCCAGGATGTCCTTCGAAGAGTAGGGTTTAATTTAAGGTGCCAAATTTGCCCACTGGCCTCTGTCCATTATGGCCTCCCATATCTCAAGAGCGGTGGTATGTGTGCGCGCAACGTATCTGAAGAGCGGTTGGGGGCGTGTGCGTGCGATGTATCTGAAGAACGGTGGGGTTGAGTCATGCCTGACGTACCTGAAGAGCTGGGAGGGATGCTGTGGAGACTATTTAAGGACCGGACGGAGATTATCATTCGTTTGCGCGCCAGCGGGAGTCTCTATGCATTTGCGGGAGACTCCCGGAACGTCAGGGAGACTTGGGATGTCTGTTTGAGTGTCCAGAAAAGCGCTTTATAAATGTAAGGAATTATTATTAGTTACAGAAAATAAGTATTATTTACAAATTCTAAATAGTGAAACCATGTTAGCAACCAATCACTACCCTGCTAAGAAATCCAGCTTAAACCACTCTAGGCTGGTTTTAGCTGGTCGACCAGCCTGGTTTTAGAGGGGTTTTGGCCACTTCCAGGCTGGTTTTCAGCCATTTCCAGCCTGGTTTTAGCTGGCCAGGCTGGGAGCCCAGCTAAAAATAGCTATATCCAGCTTAAACCAGGATGATCAAGCTGGTTTTAGATGGTTTTAGCTGGTCACTTTCCAGCCTGACCAGCTAAAACCAGGCTGGAAACCAGCCTGGAAGTGGCCAAAACCTTTCTAAAACCAGGCTGGTTGACCAGCTAAAACCAGCCAACTATCCAAGGCTGGTTTAAGCTGGGTTTTTAGCAGGGTATTAAAGTACAACAACGATGCTAATGATGCTTTGACGTCATACTTGCATGCTAATTCAGACCCATTATTTAAAGTAGTGTGGTAAATAGTGTGGGGACTGTTAATTAACTGAATGTGCAAATATAAAACCAACTTTACCTCAATGTAAAGTTACACTGCACAAGTGACAACTGCCAGAAATGTATTAACAATGATAATTTCATTAAGACGGTCACTTGTGGAAGAAGTCAGCTAAATATAATCTGCTTGCATGTGTATTTCACTGGGCTGTTACACTGAGTGTCATTTAAAGGGACAGTTCACCCAAAAAAATGACTTTCATTTACTCATCCTTCACTTGCTCACTTGCACTTGTCTTGTTTTTGCTGTTGACCACAAAATATGATATTTTGAAGAAGCCTGTATCCTTTCTTCCTTTGTATTTGTTTTTTTCTACAATCAAAGTCAATAGTTACAGATTTCTAACAGCTAAATAACTTAATTTGTGTTAAACTCGCAAAGATTTGAAACCACTTGAGGGAGCTATATCCATTTAACTCGTGTTTACAATGTTATTTTAATACCTTTTTAAAAATATGAAAATATATACAAATGTTTTATATGTATTATATGTCGTAGCACATGGTGAAGCTGTTGCAAACTTTTATTTTTATATCAAAACCAAGAATAAAACAGATAAATGAAAACCTGCTGCCCGTGATTAAACATATGACACACATACAGAACAAGAGAGAGAGACTTCACACGCTATTTGCTCTCAATGTCTTTTTCGGTTCACCCACCTGTATGTTATTATCGCCAATAGAGGACGCCTACAGGCTGCAGTCAAACAGAAAGTGGAAAGAATCCGGAAGCGTTAAACAGGTAAACAATGGGCTTTATATAATACTGTTTTATTTAAAAAGGTGCATAATTATGTGGCAGATTCTTATCATATCGTTAATGTAACCAGTCAAGAAGTTAGCTGCTAAAACTGTTAGCTGAAATCTGGGGTTTGGACTTCCTTCTTATTTCTCGACTGTACACTAATGAAGTAAACTAATTCAAGTAAAGTATAGTGTTTTGCCTTATGCTTGAGTTAATACGTTTGTTCTAAATGTAAAAACCCATATATAGAAATGCCATGTGTTTTACGTACGCGGTTTTATTGTATGTACAGAAACAAACCAAGAAAGAAAAATATGAAGACGAACTGCGATTACAGCCGATTAAACAATGAGTGCTCGCCATGTTTGTTTATATGCGCCATTAATAAATTACTGACGCGTAACACTTTGCAGAAGATCCTACCGAAAACACGAAACAGCTGTCTTAAACTGATGTTCAGTTCATTTGAAAGCTAGCTTACAGTTCTACAACTGTATTTGCGTATTATCAGTTTCAGTTTTAAGTTTATGTAAATGTACTGCAGCTGTAAAACTCGACATGCACAATCTATAGTTAGTGTAAGGGCAATAAAGGTGATTTATACTACATAAATTAAATATGATTATACTTCATAGCTTATATGCATAGTTAATGTTAGACTTTCACTTTCATATATGACTCTATATAACTATAACTCACTTTCACTTCGATGTATATGTATTGCTGTATTCTGTAGTTGAAGCATTAATTTTGACTGCAGCGGCTGGATACGTTTGTGAACATCCTTCAGTCAGTGATGAAAACCTGAGTTTTGACCCCAGGTAACACACTGGACAGCTTTATTTTTTACATTTACACACTGCACAAAATCATTTTCAATTCTTTTGTTATATTAAAAAAAATATTAAATCAAGAAGCATTTTCCAGATGAGCAAAACATAGTTTGTTTTCAGCAATATGTCAAAATGTTAAAACTAGCAAACGTATCTGCCTGTGGGGTAAAGCAGAATAATCAAATGTCAAAAAAAAAAAAAAAAAAAAAAAAAAAACGACAGGCAGATTATTTGCATATTTTAAGAAAAAACTTACCTAATTTAGGTATATTATTTCTGAAAACAACACAATATGGTATGCTTGTCTAAAACTTTTAGATGTTTGAACTAGAACCAAGACAAAAAAATCTAAGTAAGAAAATCATTTTTCAGTGCATTTTAACCCACAGGAACTTAAAGGGCACGTCTGTCATGAGTCTGTCACACAGTGAGCCGAACAATCAGTTCCCTGAATTTTTTTTCTGTTCCTATTTGGCATTTAAATTAATTAAACTATACCATAAAATTCTGTTTGCATCATGTTATATAATTATAAATTTATACTTTGAATTTTTCCTTTAGTAGTTCAAACATTTAAAGTGATAAAGTGCAGTGTTACATGATTTTTTTTTCCCTTCAGTTTCTTACATTTTTTTTCTCTCTTTCACATCCTGAGGTTTCAGTTCCTTTTGTAGACTAACCCCCAACGTACATCTTAAACTGCCTTTTGTTTGGCATTATCAGCAAGATGAAGAGACCGGAGTCTCCAGAATCCAGCAGTGTGTCTATGAAGAGCGGCAGATCCATGGAGCAACCCATGAGATTCAGTGATGATCCAGTGACCTCTGACCCTCGGTACAACCATTTATTTTTGTTTTAGTCGTCATTTTATAAAGTATACATTTATCTGTACACTCTACAGGAGTGCAGGTTGATGAGAGGTGCTAAAATCCAACATCTCTGATAACCAAAATAGTTCTCATGGTCTCTCAAAGTCTGGTTCTGATTAAGAATGTACAGCAGTTCTGTTCACATCAAGGACTATAAGTAGAAATACTTTACTCGCTTACTTTGCTTCTGCTTATTCCCTTTTTAATCAGGGGGTTGCCAATGTATATACACGTTTAATTACTGATTAAAAAAAGTAACAATAGACCACACTGCAGTACTATACAATTTATTCTTAGATATCTACGTTATATTGTAATTTCTTCCACCATTTTCTTAATCATTTACTCTACCAAGTCAAAAACCACTCATCTTTTTTTAAAAATGAAAGCCATTTTTAAATGAAGCTGAGAGGTTTCAATTCCCTTCTTATGTGGACTAACCATTGAAGTGTGAATTGAAACAGTTTTGCTTTTTTTGTGCAGGATAAAGAGACAGAGGTTAGAGTCTTCAGAAATCAGCGATGTGTCTGTGAAGAGTGGCAGGTCCATGGAGCAACCCATGAGATTCAGTGATGCACCAGTGACCTCTAACCCTCAGTTAGTACAATGATTTCCTTTCTGATTTACTGTACAGTGCGTCTAAGATAAGTAATGATTTTATAATTTGTACAAAACTATAAACTCTACATTATACTAATAAGCTACACTACAAGTCAACATAAATAGAATTAAGAAATGTGGAGTAAAGGGGCACAGACTGAACCTGGATTAGATAAAGATTTTCGCCCACTGTAGGATGGCTTGCTTCAGGTTGGCAAATACCAGAGGCCAGTTGCACCAGCAGTGCTCAAGTTAAAAGGTAGCCTAGGTGTGATGTAAAAGACTTATGCACTACTAGTAATGTTGTTGCACCACTGAACTTGGTATTCACTGCATACTCCAGAGAGGAGGGGATATGAGTTGCCTTTACATTTAATTTTTTAGCAGATGCTTTTATCCAAAGCGACACCCATGAACGCATACCCGGAGCAGTGGGCTACCCGGAGAGCAGTTAAAGGTTCAGTGTCTTGCTAAAGTAACTCACCTCAGCCATGGTATTGAAGGTAGAAGAGTGCTGTTTATTCACTCCGCCACATACAATCCCTGCCGATGACAGGACTGGATCCTGTGATCTTGGATCACAAGTCCTGTGGGTATTCAGGCTAACCCACTGGATCAGAGTGGAGACTCGTCTGTCAATGTGGTTTTTCAGGAATCAGTCTCATGCTCTCTACTCATCCATGACCACCACAGCTTCTGCTCAGGATACGGGCTGAGTCCAGGATTATGTAGACCTCATGATAAGTAGAAAGAGACTAATTTAAGTGTAAATGCCATTCAAATTTAATGTCTTTTTGGGAAGTTTTCCCAGCTCCGGTTGCCCATATGGCTCAACGTATTTTCTTGCGGGTCCATCTTATTCAGCACCGAGTGACCACGGAAGGTTTAAATATAGTAGGAATTTAGGAGGGAGTCATGGTTGGATGTGTGGACACTCATGGCTCTTTTTATAAGGTTCACAGTTCCCCAAAAAAAGTTGTGTCATGTGCATATCAATCAAACAAATCCACAACACTAACATAAAGTCTGTCGGCCTATGAGCTCTCTGTCTGTCTCTTTCTTTCTTCTTTTTGTGGATTTTTTAATTCCAAGCACTGTGATACCTTATTTCCACTGAGCAACATAGTTCTGTAGAGTTTGGTTGGTACATGGTACCCTAATCAGAACATTCATGTCTTTTGCAAACTCAAAATCATTAATTTAAATGTAGACATATGTTACTTATTCAAAACTCTTTTTTTATGAAAGCCATGTTTAATGAAACCTGAGATGTTTTTTTTTCTTTTCTTATGTGTATGTTTTGTATCTTATGTTTTGTTTTTATTTTGTGCAGGATGCGGAGAGAGAGATTGGAGTCTCCAGAATTCAGTAATGTGTCTGTGAAGAGCAGCAGGTCCATGGAGCAACCCATGAGATTCAGTGGTGAACCAGTGACCTCTGACCCTCAGTTAGTACAATCATTTCCTTTTTGATTTACTGTACAGTGCGTCTGTGATAAGTAACGATTTTATAAACCATACAAAACTCTATACTATACATTATACTAATGAAATACACAAGTCAATATAAATCAAAATAAGAGATGTGGAGTAAAAAGAGCAGAGACCGCACCTAGATTAGATAAAGATGCCCCCTTGCACTCTCTCTAGTTTGGCTCTCTTCAGGTCAGCATGAAGGAAATAGTAGCCTAGTTGGGATGTAAAGGGACACAAACTATTAAGAAGGTTTGTGTTGCACCACTAAACTTAGTTTAAATAAAACTACTTAAAGGAGAATGTAATTTTCTTTCAATAAGTGTTTTGTGTTATTAGTGTTTATCAATTGAAATGAGAATTTCTTTTTTGCTGAGTTTAGTTCAAGAGTTCACACTTAGCTGATAATCAATAAAACGTATTTGGCATGCTGTCCCGGGAGAGAGCCCTGAGCTCGTAATATCCTCGAGCCCGGGGCTCCCTCCCGTTAGAAGGGCGAGAGGGGAATTCGAGGTCAGGTAGGTCTCGAGAACTCTCCTGCTTGTCACCGTGAGAAGTGTAAACTCGGGTTGTATTGGGTGATAATTTGTTTTAGTCGATTGGCTATGGTTTATGTTTTTGGACGGTGGGAGGAACCCGGGGAAAACCCACGCGAACACGGGGAGAACATGCAAACTCCACACAGAAACACCAACCAGCCCGATGGGTTGGACTGGCGGTGTTCTTGCTGTGAGGCAACAGTGCTAGCCACTGGGCCTCCGTGTCGCCCGATCAGAAAAAGTGGGAGGATGTAGGGGTGGAAAGGGGGGGAGCTTCAAGACAAAGATAACTGGAGTGAAAAAGTCAGGTTATTTATAATGCTTCCATAATCATCTAATAGGGCTGATTACGGAGCTAACAAGGAGCCAGTCGTGTTGATTATAAGCACGTGATCCTCTCGAAATTAGTTTATGAATAAACCACACTTCTTTGCTGATTTGGGGCCACCCATATGTAAAGGAGTCCTGTTAGTAAAGTGCTGTGCGGGTAAACCTTACTTCTCTAATCTCAAAGAATGCTTTAGCGACTGACACTAGAGCAGTCAGTGCCATTCTTGCTCCAAGAATAAAGCCATTCAACATTCAAGCAGATTAGACATTCTTGAATTCAGAAGACATTAAGCTTTGTTTGAGCAAAGATCATTTCTGTTGCTTAAACAATTCTTGAGATCAGGGGTGGGAGGTTTTACCTAAACAGCATCAGCTAGCCTCAGTTACACATGAAAACATTCCAATTGTCATTAAATTGCTGCTCCTGTGTTTTTCATTTCAGCATGATGGGATTTACATCATCCTTTCACTATAAAAATCAAGGTCACATCAGTCAGGATAACACAGCAACAATCCTGCAGATGCAAACATTAGAGACTGTAAACCTGCAGAGAGTCAAAGACCAGCACAAAACTAGCATGAGGAAGAAGTATGAGCTGTTATCTGAAGGAATTAAAGTAAAAGAGACTGGAACCCACCTGAGCCGTATCTACACCCAGCTGTACATCATAGAGGGAGAGAGTGAAGGAGTGAATGAAGAACATGAGGTTTTACAGATGGAGAAAACAGCCAGAACAAAACACTCCCAACACACTCCAATCTACTGCAATGACATCTTTAAAGAGGAGAAAGAGCAAATCAAGACTGTTCTTACTAAAGGCATCGCTGGAATCGGAAAAACCGTCTCTGTGCAGAAGTTCATTCTGGACTGGGCCGAGGGAAAAGCCAATCAGGATGTAGATTTCATGTTTGTGCTTCCATTTCGAGAGCTGAACTTGATCAGAGATCATCAGTACAGTCTTCACACACTTCTGCTGGACTTTCATCCTGAACTTGAAGATCTGGAGCCCAAGATTTATGAGGAGTGTAAAGTTGTGTTCATCTTTGATGGTCTGGATGAAAGCAGAATCACACTGATGTTTTCAGACGCTCAGAAAGTTTGTGATGGGACTGAGACTTCATCAGTGGCTGTGTTGATGTCAAAGCTGATGAAAGGAGAGCTGCTTCCCTCTGCTCTCATCTGGATCACCTCCAGACCAGCAGCAGCCAATCAGATCCCCTCCAAATACATCAAGCGTCTGACAGAAATTCAGGGATTCACTGAGCCTCAGAAGGAGGAATATTTCAGGAAGAGAATCAGTGAGCAGCATCAAGCCAGCAGAATCATCTCACACATCAGAAGAGCAAGAAGCCTCCACATCATGTGCCACATACCCGTCTTCTGCTGGATCTCATCCACTGTGCTTCAGAAGCTCCTGGAAGAAGATCTGAGTGCAGAAATCCCTCAAACTCTGACTGAAATGTACATCCACTTCCTGCTGATTCAGATCAACATGAGGAATCAGAAGTATGAAGAGAGAGATCCAGAGAAACTCCTGCAGTCCAACAGAGAAGTGATTGTCAAACTTGCTGAAGTGGCTTTCAGACAGCTGATGAAGGGCAATGTGATGTTCTATGAGGAGGACCTGATTGAGAGTGGCGTAGACGTCTCTGACGCCTCAGTGTATTCTGGGATTTGCACTGAGATCTTTAAGGAGGAATCTGTGATTCAGCAGAGGAAAGTCTACAGCTTCATCCATCTGAGTGTTCAGGAGTTCCTCGCTGCTTTACATGTGTTTTACTACCACATAACCTGCTCCACAGAGGCATGTTTAGATTCACTGCATGATTTACAAAGAAGAGCAGTAGATAAAGCCATTGAGAGTGAGAATGGGCGTCTGGATCTGTTCCTGCGGTTCCTGCTGGGCGTCTCACTGGAGTCCAATCAGAGACTCTTCCAGGATCTACTGACACACACAGAGAAGAGCTCAAAGAGCATCAGGAGAAGCACACAGTACATTAAAGAGAAGATCAGAGATGGACATGGACTCTCCACTGAAAGATCCATCAATCTGTTCCTCTGTCTGCTGGAAGTGAAAGATCAGACTCTGTCCAGAGAGATTCAGGAGTTTGTGAAATCAGACAAACAGTCAGAGAAGAAACTCTCTCCTGCTCACTGCTCAACAATCGCCTACATGCTTCAGATGTCAGAGGAGGTGCTGGATGAGCTGGAGCTCCAGAAATACAACACATCAGATGAGGGCAGGAAAAGACTGATACCAGCCGTCAGCAACTGCACAAGAGCTCTGTGAGTGATTATGTTACTGCTTTGTTTCTTGCATATATTTACCTTGTATTAAATTCCCTTGTGCTTGTCTTCTTTCAGTCTTGCTGGCTGTAATCTCTCTGCTCAGGATTGTGAAATTGTGTCGTCAGTTCTTCAATCCTCAAACTGTGTCCTGAGAGAGCTGGACCTGAGTAACAATGACCTGCAGGATTCAGGAGTGAAGCTGCTCTCTGATGGACTGAAGAGTCCAAACTGTCAGCTGGAGATTCTGAGGTTTGAGTTTTACTTTGGGCCATGATCAGGTAAAGCTTCAGGTTCAATACTTTCTTTAAAATTGACCCCTGTGTGTGCATTTCTGCAGGTTGTCTGGCTGTATGGTGACAGAGGAAGGCTGTGGTTTTCTATCTTCAGCTCTGAGTTCAAACCCCTCACACCTGAGAGAGCTGGATCTGAGCTACAATCACCCAGGACAATCAGGAGTCCAGCTGCTCCAACACACACTGGAGGATCCACACTACACACTGCAGAAACTCAAGTAAGTGGGGTAGTGGGGTATTTATGGTAGTGTGGGGTAGTTTCATGTATTTAACTACTGTTAAGATACATAAAAGCACTATTTATTATGTTAGTATATTTGCTACATTGCATTCATTTGGTTTTGTTTGTGCTCACTTAGTTTTTATCTTTTATTTTGATTTGACAGTGTTATTTACTTAACATATTATACCCAAACTGTAACATAATATACCAAACCAACCTGAAACTATGTTTTGAAAACAGAAAAAAACTCTGAGTCTGATTTTTTTGAACCCATGTTATGAATACATTAACTTTTTGTGAGTGGAACGACAGCAATGCTTGACAAAGACACAAATACCATCTTATCTTCTATGCTTTTCACACTTTACAATTTTAAATCACCTAAAGGTTCAGATATTTAGCATGCCAAAGTGTTTCTAAGGCCTCACTGGCATGTGATTTCTCTCTGATCTCATTTTTGATAATTCACACTATTCATCGCACTTGTTGGTGATTTCAGAAACCCTGTTGGCAAATCAAAATTAGTGCTAAATTTGTTCATTACACAAAGATAATTTAACTGCTTCCTATCAGAAATCTGCATTTGCCTCCTGTTTTTACTGTTTGAATGCTTCACGTTTAGCAGATGTGGTTCATATCTGTGTCTTTCTAGTTTGGATCATGGAGGACATTTAAGAATCATACGAGGACTAAGAAAATGTAGGTGTTTTCTCCTTTAGACACACGGATCTAAAATAATCCTTCGTGTAAAGTTGATCTTATTTTTATTCTTGTGTTCAGATGCTGTTTTTCTCACTCTGGATCCAAACACAGCACACAATCAACTCATCCTGTCTGAGGGAAACAGAAAGGCAAAATTTGAGAAAGAGCATCAGCCGTATCCTGATCATCCTGACAGATTTGAGCACCATGAGCAGGTTCTGTGTAAAGAGACTCTGACTGGACGCTGTTACTGGGAGGCTGAATGGAGCAGTTGGTCTTATATAGCAGTCACCTATAGAGGAATCAACAGGAAAGGAGGGAGTGACTCTTGGTTTGGGTACAATGATAAATCCTGGAGCATGTACTGCACTGATGACAGATTCACAGTCTGGCATAATAATAACAAAACTGACATCCCAGCTCCTTTATCCAAGTTAAAAAGATTAGGAGTGTATGTCGACGTTCCATCCGGCTCTTTGTCCTTCTACAGTGTCTCTGACACACACACACTCACACTCATACACACACTCAACACCACATTCACTGAACCCCTCTATGCTGGATTCAGAGTGTTTGAAACGACATTGACTCTGTGTCAGATTTAACAACAACACGATACACAATGATACATTGACAGAGCATCACAAAATAACATGCTGAAAACACCTGCCGTGAAGCTAAAGGAAAATTTGCCTAATACTAATTTCTCGGTTTGCAGGTCAAAAAGGCAATGCAGTTAACCCCATTCACTCATAGCTATATTTTTATATTTTTTTAAATATTTTTAAATCATCCTGAAATGACTTTGATTTGTTTTGACTGTTAGTAGCGAAGTGTTAGCCTTTGTTATAAGCTAGTGTGATAGAAGATATTAGCATTAAGATCTTGCATTTTCTCACTTTAGTAAGACGTAATCTGCATGTAAACTGTAGTTTCTCATCAAATCTTCTGACCAAGCAAATGTTCTCTAGTATCTGGAACATCCCGCCCCCTTCAAGACACTAAAATGCAGCCAAAATGCTCATTTCAAGAGTTTACACTTAGCTCATGGTTTATAGCTTGTTTGGCGTGCTGTCCAGGGAGAAAGCTCTGAGCTCAAGGAATCCTCAGGCCCAAGGCTCCCCTATTTTGCAGGGCGCTGGGAGATTGAGCTCAGGGCGATCTCTAACTCCCCCGCTGCTGAGGCCAAGTTGAACTTCCTGAGAGTAAGACATTAGAAAAAAGATAAGGCTTATTTTATTTATAATATAGAGCATATTTGGATGGTGGAGGAAACTGGGGAACCTGGGGGAAACCTATGCGGACACGGGGAGAACATGCAAACTCCGCACAGAAATACCAGATGACCCAGCGAGGGCATTGGTATTTTTGCTGTGAGGCAACAGTGCTAGTCACTGGGCCACCATGGCGCCAATTCTGGATAAAGGTGGATAAAGCTGCGGTCACACTAGAGTTTGATAATGCGAAATTCTGTCGTGCGGCGATGCGAAAAGGGGCGGGAATAAACAAGATTATTAGGCATTAAATAAGCAAGCGATTGCTCCATGTTTTAAATTTCTATCCACAGAGGTCATGTTTTGATCCTCGATTAGTCTCACGCAGTCAAGTGATGCGATTTGGCTAGTCAGAGTTCACCAAGCTTGAACTTTGCACCGCAGCAACCTGCGAAACTTAACGCATGACCCTGTGTTTCCGATCTGACGCATTCCCGTGCGTATGAATGGAAGTCTATGGGAGGAAAAGCCAAGTGTGACCGCAGCTTAAAGGGGAGGAGGGGGGTTTCTTAAAGATGAAGAACGATGTAGAAAAGAAATGAGGATATGTAAAGTGACTTGGGATCCTTTAATTGGAGGATCATGGTTGGCTAATGTGGGCCAGCTGGGTCAATCATGAGCACGCGCTCCTCTCGAAATGAGTTTAAAATTAAACTTCACTTACTAGAGTTTGTGTGTGCGAAATTCTGTTGTGCGGCGTTGCGAAAATGGGCGGGATTAAACAAGCTTATTAGACATTAAAATAGCGAGCGATTGGTCCATATTTTAATTTTCTGTACAGAGAGGTCATGTTTTGATCCGTGATTGGTCTCACACAGTCTAGTGATGCAAAAAATATAATAAAAAACGGAAAAAAAAAGTGAAGTGATGAGATTTCGCTGGTCAGAGTTCACCAAGCTTAACCTTTGCACCGCAGCATACTTGACGCATGACCCTGCGTTTTCGGTCTGACGCATTCGCGTGCGTATGAATGGAAGTCTATAGGAGGAAAAGCCCAGTGTGACCACAGCTTAAAGGGGAGGAGGAGGGTTTCTTAAAGATGAAGAACGTTGTAGAAAAGAAATGATGTATAGTGACTTGGGATCCTTAAATTGGAGGATTATGATTAGCTAATGTGGGCCAGCTGGGTCAATCATGAGCACGCGCTCCTCGCGAAATGAGTTTAAAATTAAACTTCACTTAAGCTGCGGTCACACTAGAGTTTTTGTGTGCGAAATTCTGTTGTGCGGCGTTGCGAAAATGGGCGGGATTAAACAAGCTTATTAGACATTAAAATAGCGAGCGATTGGTCCATATTTTAATTTTCTGTACAGAGAGGTCATGTTTTGATCTTCGATTGGTCTCACACACTCAAGTGATGCAAAAAAATTTGCGTGTGTATGAATGGAAGTCTATGGGAGAAAAATCCCAATGTGACCGCAGCTTCATTCACATGGGGACTGGATGGTTTGTGGATACATTTGTATGTATAAAAATATGCATCAATCAACAGTATTGATCTGAACTCTAATTTACTTTTTAAGCATTAATTTTCTACACGCTGACTCTGATGAAGCAGTGCTTTATATAATGAACATTCACAATGATGTGTGCCAGGATAAAGCTTTAGGCTAAAATCTAACTACATTAAACCATTCTCAACAGAATAAAACACATGCTCAAATTATATTTCCATACTGTTTTTAGTAGTCTTCTAGCTTTTTCACTTGACATTTGTGTGTATTTACAAGTTTGTGCATGGTTTTGTAAGAAAAATAAAACTTTTTACATTTTTATATTCCACACCAGTGTGCTGTCAGCTTTCATTGGAGTTTCAATGTGGATTCAACATAGTTTTAATATTAAATATCCATTTCAAAATTGCATCAATCTCACCATGATATCTGTGTGTTGATCATCTTTCTGATCCACAAGTTTCTGATTTATTGCAGAGTTTAATTCTTTGCGCCACTAAAGGAAGTATTGAGTGTGTCCTTATTTGACCCCGTGTTGGTTTAAAACAACCCAGTATGTTTTTAAGTGTTATACTTAAATTAATCAATGCAAAACAATATAATAGCTGTACTTTTAAAACTCAGAAGAGAAGCTGATTTAAAAAAAAGAAATGTATACATACTAATGGAATTGAGAGATCTGTGTAACAATGTGATTATAGTCATTACTGTAAGTAAATGGTCACTTCACTTGGTTGGAAAATTGCTTGCGGTGTATTTGGTCAGCTGTTCAGTTTATTTTACAGTTGTTGTTTTTTCATGCTGTGTGTTTACTCATTTTCATTGCGTCTCTGTAAGTGTAATGATGCTGTGCGCCGCTAGAGGGAGTCCTTTTTAAAACGTCGACGGAGTTAAAAACGAAAGTGAAAGAAACATTTTGTGGTGAGTTCCTTTCTATATGCTTCATTGTACTATCTAATCTAGCTGTTAAAACTGTTAGCTGAAATCAGAGATCGGTGCCAAGCAAGCCTAGCACTCTACAGTTTTAATATTTCATATTTTTAAACACTTAAAAATAAAAGATCTAAATATTCATATTAGAAACATCCTAAATAGGTTAGATTTGTACACCCCCTGCTGAAAAATCCAGCTTAAACCAGCCTATGCTGGTTGGCTGGTTTAAGCTGGTTGACCAGCCTGGTTTTAAAGGGGTTTTGGCCACCTCTCGGCTGGTTTCCAGCCATTTCCAGCCTGGTCGTAGCTGGTCAGACCAGCTAAAACCAGCCAGCCATCCTAGGCTGGTTTAAGCTGTATTTTTCAGCAGGGCGATTTCAGAAGTTTTACTGCTAATGCATGCATGTTAGCACACCACCACCAAAAGCAATGCATGCCTGCTTACAAGTTAGTCAACTACACTGAGAACTGTGAGGAAGCATCAAACCTTTTTAAACATGAGCCACCCTGCAGAAAATCCTGGTAAGGTATGTTTTGATGCTGGCATGCAGTTCTTGCTGGTTTCTATACTGGTCTTGCTAGTTTTTTATGCTGGTTTTAATGCTGATCGTGCTCGTTTTAATGCAGGTCTTTAAGGAGGAATCTGTGATTCATCAGAGGAAAGTCTACAGCTTCATCCTTCTGAGTGTTCAGGAGTTTCTCGCTGCTTTTTATTTGTTTCTCCTTTATGTGATGCAGAATGTGGACACATCTCTTTTTTTAGATGTAATTCATCTGCATAGGGAAGCAGTAGATAAAGCCATTGAGAGTGAGAATGGTCATCTGGATCTGTTCCTGCGGTTCCTGCTGGGCGTCTCACTGGAGTCCAATCAGAGACTCTTCCAGGATCTACTGACACACACAGAGAAGAGCTCAGAGAGCATCAGGAGAAGCACACAGTACATTAAAGAGAAGATCAGAGATGGACATGGACTCTCCACTGAAAGATCCATCAATCTGTTCCTCTGTCTGCTGGAAGTGAAAGATCAGACTCTGTCCAGAGAGATTCAGGAGTTTGTGAAATCAGACAAACAGTCAGAGAAGAAACTCTCTCCTGCTCACTGCTCAACAATCGCCTACATGCTTCAGATGTCAGAGGAGGTGCTGGATGAGCTGGAGCTCCAGAAATACAACACATCAGATGAGGGCAGAAGAAGACTGATACCAGCCGTCAGCAACTGCACAAGAGCTCTGTGAGTGTTTATGTTACTGCTTTGTTTCTTGCATATATTTACCTTGTATTAAATTCCCTTGTGCTTTTCTTCTTTCAGTCTTGCTGGCTGTAATCTCTCTGCTCAGGATTGTGAAATTGTGTCGTCAGTTCTTCAATCCTCAAACTGTGTCCTGAGAGAGCTGGACCTGAGTAACAATGACCTGCAGGATTCAGGAGTGAAGCTGCTCTCTGATGGACTGAAGAGTCCAAACTGTCAGCTGGTGATACTGAGGTGAGACTTTCATGTTTAGTAATTATTATTTAAAGTTATGGATTCTATACTATATTATAATTTGCACTCTGGTCTGTGTCTGCAGGTTGTCTGGCTGTATGGTGACAGAGGAAGGCTGTGGTTTTCTATCTTCAGCTTTGAGTTCAAACCCCTCACACCTGAGAGAGCTGGATCTGAGCTACAATCACCCAGGACAATCAGGAGTCCAGCTGCTCCAACACACACTGGAGGATCCACACTACACACTGCAGAAACTCAAGTATGTTCACAAGTAAAGCCTTGAATGTGACTTTAAATAATGAGTGTCACCTATGACTGTTTAAATATCTTTCTTTCATTATATACTGTGTCCAAATATCTTTTATGTGACAGAATACTGCAGCATCCTGTTATTTGTGTCAAATTATTGAATGTCACAAAATTGGTGGGTCATTTCCCCAGCCAAGGCTTGAACCAGTTGTTGCTGTGAGGTGAACGTGCAACCCACTGCGCCACCATGACGGCCAAATTTATATCATGTTTTATATAAAAATGCAATACAATTTGAATTAAAGCCAAATAGATTTACGAAATCAAAGCACTTCGCAGCAGCAGGCATGAGCAGGAAGCAGTATAACAGGAAGTGGCATTTTCAGCAGTGCTGTGGTTGTCGTGTACTGATGAACCGTCTGTTTGCAAGTCAATTATAATTTAGACAGCGATCTGATTTAGCAGCTCTCTTTCAGCTCCTCCTGCCACGGTAATATATTTTATATTTTAATTAATTAATTTCATTATTTATGATTTTTTTTAAATAGATAGAGTCAGATTTGTAAATACTTTTATATCAATATTTTTATTTCATTAGGTTCAGTTTTAAAAAAGTCAACAATATACATACTGCTCATAAACCATCTACATCAGGGAGCCCAAACTCAGTCCTGGAGGGTCGGTGTCCTGCATAGCTTAACTCCAACTTCCTTCAACACTCCTGCCTGGACGTTTCGAGTATACCAAGAAAGAGCTTGATTAGCTGATTCAGGTGTGTTTAATTGGGGTTGGAACTAAAATATGCAGGACACCGGCCCTCCAGGACCGAGTTTGGACACCCTTGCTCTAGATGTATACTGTTAACTTTATTTTCCACTTTATTTAATGTCCTTCTGTCTTATTGTGTTGATTTGTGTGATGTGATATTGATTAACATGACTCTGATTCTCATCAAACCCGAGTGGGATAAAACTATAGACATAGTCAAATGAAAGTCAGAGTTTGCCTATTGTTTCTGTACTGTTACACAAATTGATGAGGTAGACGACCTGAAATATTAACTCTCGTTCCTTGTGGTTTTGAACGTGTGTGCTTTTTTTGTGTGGAATATAAAGTGAACATTTTGGGAAATTGTTTATTTATTAATGCTCATATTTCCCCTAACATCTAGTGCATTCATTTCACCAATTGGAGAAATCCACACCAGTTTGTGTATGACGTTAAATGTTCATTTTTAATTTGGTTTGAACTGTCCACCAGTCCCATCCATCATATCCAAAACAGCTCTCTCTCTCTATAAGAAATAGGTTTATCACCTGTTGGACATGTGCCCTGCTGAAAAATCCAGCTTAAACCAGTCTAGGATGGCTGGCTGGTTTTAGCTGGTCGACCAGCCTGGTTTTAGAGAGGTTTTGGCCTGGTTTCCTGCCCTTTCCAGCCTGGTTTTAGCTGGACAGGCTGGGAGATGACCAGCTAAAACCAGCTTGAACAGCCTAGCCAAGCTGGGAGTCCAGCCAAAACCAGCTATGTCCAGCTTAAACCAGGCTGGTCAAGCTGGATTTGGCTGGTCATTTTCCAGCCTGACCAGCTAAGACCAAGCTAGAAATGGCTGGAAACCAGCCTGAAACTGGCCAAAACCTCTCTAAAACCAGGCTGGTCAACCATCTAAAACCAGCCAACCAGCCTAGGCTGGTTTAAGCTGGATTTTTCAGCAGGAAACAGTTCAAACAAAGATAAACACTGACCAGAAACCCGTTTGCATCAGAAAATGTAATTGATTTAATATAATCACCGTCTTTCTACATTTCCTTCTTGCTTAACAATAGACTATAGGCCAAAGAGCAACAGAGCAAACCTCAAGAACAAACAGGCACGCGTGCACAGACACCTCATCCTTTAAACTCAGACCACAGTAACCATGGCAACCAAACAAAGTCATACTTTATATAATAAACAATCAGTAAGCCAGTGACAAACAACCAATTACCAGGTAACAAAACACAGACACACACACACAAACGCACACACACACACACACACACACACGCACACACACACACACACAATATCAATAAATGCAGCACACGGAGATAAAAATAATAATAATTATTTGTACGAATCACAGAGTCACTATAATAATCCACCAATTCTCAGAATCAGAGAGCTTTATAGGCAGGTATGTTCGAGGAATTTGTTTTACGTGACAGAGCTTCTACAGTGCAACAGAACTACAGAGACAGGACAATAAACAGATAATAAATATATAAAAAAGCAGCAAGTAGTGAATGCAAACATACAAATTGACAAGTGCACTGCAAAAAATGCTTTTCTTGCTTAGATTTTTTGTCTTGTTTCTACTCTAAATATCTAAAATTTCTTATATCAAGAAGCATTTTTTAGAAAAGCAAAATATATTGCCTTGTTTTGAGAAATAATATGCCAATATTAAGTCAGTTTTTCCTTAAAACAAGCAAAATAATCTGCTAATGGGGTGAGCAAATTAATCTTGTTTTTTCTTTTGACATAAGATTATTTTGCTTACCCCATTGGCAGATTATTTCTCAAAACAAGGCAATATGTTTTGCTTGTTTAGAAAATTCTTCTTGATTTGGGAATTTTTAGATATTTGGACGAGAAACAGGACAAAAAATCTAAGTAAGAAAATTTACTTTTTTGCAGTGTGTATGTAGAGCTATATTAAAACCTAGAGCTATATTCTATATGCTGTAGAGCTTTATTCTAAAGCCTTCCTCAGTTTGTCAGACAGCAAAAGGAAAATAGATCGCAGAGATGGAGACTTTACTGCTGTTTACACACTTTGTGTGTGGTAAATAGTGGTTACTGTGATTTTACTGTTGGTGTAAGCAAAATAATCTTATTTTAAACTGAATACAGGTTTATTATGCGTTATTCTGCTTGTTTTAAGCAAAAACTCACTTAATTTTGATTTATTATTTCTGATAATATTGCTATATTTTTTGCTTTTTCTAACAAATTCTTCTTGATGTAAGAATTATTTAAATATTTCGACTACAAACAAGACAAAAACTAGTAAGAAAAGCTTTTTTTTTTTTTCTTAGCTTGAAGGGGCTTATATACTGTACATTTCAGGGTTTGTGATGTCACTAATCCCAGGAAGGATTCACTCATCTATAGCTACAAAGGTGAAATCCTAATCTATATGCCCCTAAGTGACATGTGGTCTGATATATATAGTCGCCAAACATGTGTATGTAACATAACTATTTAATATAGATATTTTCTGCCACACTAATAAGTGCTTAAGAATATATTCGTCTCTATGCAGCGAGCTTTAAATACACTGAATGTCAGCGATTTTGGTATTACAGCTTATACCTTAGCATTTAGCATGTAGCATTTGTTGTGCGATCATTTGAAGTCTTAGGCTGCGTCCGAAACTGCATACTTCCATACTGTATAGTACACTAAAATCAGTATGTGAGCCGAGTAGTATGTCCGAATTTTTAAAATTGGTAAAATCAGTATGCGAGAAGTACCCAGATAACTTGCTACTTCCAGTGAGATTCTGGAGTGCGCATCCCATGCATGCTGCGCTATCCCATGATGCCCCACGAGCGAATTCATGAATGGGAGTGAGGCGACGCAACTGACGCAAGTACGTCACGTGACCATGACAAAATGGCGAATGTAGTACATCCGAATTCCATTCATGCTTTTCACACATACTGTATAAAACGTACTTTTCTAACAGCCGAGTAGTACGTTTACATTCAAATGCAGTACCTACCGAGTAGTAGGCGGTTTCGGACGCAGCCTAAGTGTATGTCTGTGAATGTGTGCATGACAGTGTGAGTGTATAATTTCTTTCTCTTTTTTTCTCTTCAAACTTGTAGACAACGACTATTCAATAATGGCTCGTTGTCTCAAAAGCAATTCAGCAAGGTGATGATACACACACACACACACACACACACTTTTTTCTACATCTCAGTGGGGACTAATAGACATCATGATGTTTCTACTGTACATTATTATCTCCCTCTATACCCTAAACTCACCTACCCCTTACCACAAAAAAATGTTTACTTTTCCTAAATACTCAATTTTGTTTGATTTATAAGCATGTTCGCCAATGAGAACCTTGAATTTCATTCCCACGGTGTGGCACAAGTCCCCATGAGTCTGTGTGCATTCATGTATAAGTCCCCACTGGGATATAAAAACAAGTACACACACATGTCCAATAGTTAAATCTCAGACTAATCAATGCTTTTGTACTTCTCAAATCTGACTGCAGTGCTCTTCTTTCAGATGTATGGTTGCTTCCCTTGTGATCATTGTGATAGTGATACTCATTGTTGTGCGCATTGTGTTATCCAATACCTGCTATGATAATGCAGCAGTGGCGGCTGATGCCAGGAAGTGCTCTGAGATCGGAAGGTATGATTTAAAGAGCTATTACAAAAATACAAGTCTGCATTATTAATATTTAAAGCCAATACAGTAGTACACTTTGCAATTTTAATAATACTTTTACATTTAGGTATTGTAAAGAGCATGCATTATATTTAGAAATTTACTATCAGAGACTGTGCAAACATAATCCCCATGTCACACTGTAACATCTCAATCAAACACGAGATTTATCTGTGAATCTGATGTCATGAATGTGCATGTTTAGTAACTTCATGCTGAAATGATCCCCCACAACAAATATAAACAATCTGTAGCCTTAGTTTAGCTCATAACATGTCTTGAGGATTAGAAAAAGAC